TTAAGGGAGAACCCATTCTGCTATCGGGCCATTAGCTCGGTTTTACATACTTTATTACATGTATAAAGGCAAGATGTACTTGTATGTGCATTAAAACGTGACATAATCATGATAATGTGTGCCTGAAATAATAAAATCTTCACATTATATATCTGTCTTTATTGTTAATGAGTATCTACTACGTATTGTATGATTCATGATTTCCATTCTTGTATGTCAAATCACTTAAATAGTTTGTCAACAATTAAGAATCATGAAACAGACGTATTAAATATGTGACCCCTGTTTAATTATAGCTGCAGGAAGTTCTGATTTCAGAATTTTCAATTACTTTGCAAATCCTATTACCCGTTCCACATGTATCAGTTTTGATGCTATGCACCTTTCTCTGACTACAGGCAACAAGAAAATTAATATTACTATAAAAAATATATTTTATATAGTAAACGGGTGCTGGATAGTAATTTTGTTCTTGATGATCAATTGTTTGTTTGTTTGGGTTTTACGTCACACCGACACAGTATAGGTCATTTGGCAACGTTCCAGCTTTACTGGTAAAAGAAGACCTCAAGTGCCATTCCATGCATTATTTCAGGCAGGAACGAGAACCTGAGTAGAACCACCGACGTTCCGTAAGCTAGCTGGATAGCTTCCTCACATGAAAGAATCCAAAGTCCCTAGTGGGATTCGAACCCACAGAGGTGAAGGCCAAGTGTTGATGATCAAAGGGTTATTATTATTATTAATTATTATGACAATTTGATCATTATTGGCATGGCAAATGTGCGTGACCATAACTTCATTTTATTACCATGCACACCCTTCTTTACTGCTACTCTCCATTTATTCTTTAATCTTTTGTCTTGTGGAAAATGAAACCCTCCAAACCCATTACAAAGTGGAACACAACAGTAATTCACCATTTCTAAGACTGCAGTGTTAATCAGTTTACTTTGAAATATAAACTTTAGCTTATTAATTAGATCAGTTGATTACATACTCTGCATTCTCCCATTGAAATTCAATGTAAACCAGCTATACACAGAGATAGCCAGCATACAGGTGTATACCTCTTATTTGTCAGGGGCGCTGCAGAGATAACTCTGCTGGATTATCTAGAAACTCTCCCATTGTCTTTTACTTTATCAGTTTATAACATATCTATTACTAATTTGACAGGCTTTGTGGAAATATCCCCTAGTTATATGTTACTTGATTTACAACTTCTCAGACAATAACCTTTTTCGGTTGTAACTTTTAATCAAATAATTTCTTTCTGAGGAAGCCTGTGTCAGAGGAACTTTCTTTAAGCCTATATTGTGTCTTCAACATTTACATATACTGACAGATGGATTTTCATGACTTCAATTTCTCTTCAATATTCTCTGTAGGTATGTTGAATGGTATGAAAAATAGCCATAAAAGTTGATAAACAAAACTGTCAAGGACATATGTGAAAAAAAAGAGATCATCACATGGATGCTCTGTTACAGCAAAGGGCTATAGGAGTCTATATGAAAGCGTTATAGATTTCTTTCATCTCCAAACTTATTTCAGCAATGTGGGATAGAAAGATGCTCGTCACGGTTAAAGAGAGATAACCATGTGTTTCTTCTTGAATCTTCGTGATCACTCTTCAAATTGGATTCTTGAGTCTTAATTCTGTCTTTGAAAGTGCAAATATTATTTAACTTTTAAAACGTCCATATACCACTAAAATGCTTTTATTCTTTTTCAAAGTTTTTTTTTTATTTGTGATGATGGCCTGTTTAATAGAAACTGTTTACAAAGAGTCTCTTATTTCTGATGTTCTGTTTTATAGTTTACAAAAAGTTACTCATCGGCCAATTTACCTTATCTCTTGGTTTTGGGAGATTAGTACACTTATAGTGATTAAATATTTTGTATGGAATTCAAAAGACTACTTTGTTTATATTAAGCTACTTTTATAACAAATAATAAGTTCACAATCAGCTTTTCTTTCTTTATGTGATAAGCATGCAACATGCTCTTAAAACCAACATTAAACGTTGATAAAATTCAACTCAGGATAACTTAGGAAATTTAAATGATAAATATTAATGCATCAATTATTGTATACTTGGTTTACAATTGTATAAATTATTTTACTATTCTACGTAATGGTCTTATGATGAAATTTTGTCAACAAATTATCTAATTGTAACGTTCAAAATCGGTAATGCGTTATGTTTATTTTAAGATAACGGCAATTTTAATGCGAGTTGTATTATATTTTTTTTTATTTTCTCTTATGCATGATACATTATCATTCAGCAAATTTATATTAATATAAGACAAAATATAGTTTATTGCATGTCCAGTAATCAAATTACAACAGGAAAGAACGGAAGTTTGCGCCATTACATGAGCTCTATATCATCCAGTCTATTACAATACAGTTTGATTCTGACTAATACAGATAAATATATAGGCAGTGGATTCGCTGCCATCAACAACATGTGGAACAAGCATCGGCCTACTTCTCGAATGAGTCAAAAGCTGCTCTGCTAAAGACAATACGCTTGTGACGTCCTGAACGTCAAATTTGAAAGTAATACCGTGGGCCGGATTGCTATACATGAACATGTCATTAACAGCATACCTTTTTTATTTGTTAATATTTCTTGTTGGTACTTTTTGTATCATTTAGGGGACAGATTCCGATTTATGTTTCGTGTATTTTTATATTAATGCAACATCATCTGCAAAGTCCGGTTAATTTTTGATCATCCCTCGTATATATGCTTTCTTCCGTATCAATCATGGTAATTGCTTTTTTAATCATGATATATGCTTTCTTTTGTGTCCATCGTGTTCACTCTTTTGTTTTAATTATAGTAATTACTTTCTTTTCTATCACTCAGTGTCTTAATCACTCAATGTTTTAATCACGGTATATGCCTACTTTTGTATCAGTCATGATCACTGCTCTGTGTTTTTATCATGGCGTATGCTTCCTTTTGCATCAATCATGGCCATTGCTTTTTTGTATTAATCATTGTTATTGTGTTTTGTATTAATCATTGTCATTTATTCATCAGTTTTTTAAGAATTATGGTAGATTTAAGATATTTTCTATTATGGTCGTTGCACAATATAAATTGCGATACATTTAACTTCAGTCTCCATTTATGGACATGAAAATGATGCGTTTGTATATAAGACATCACTATACATTGAAAAGAACAACAACTGTCATCAATTATTTTGATAACAAAATAGTCATACTAAATATATTTGCAAGGAAATAAATTTGTAACACAATAATACATAATTAATGACATGCGTACATGTGCAACTTTGTTTTTACACATCTTGCAAATGCATCTTTGTTATAGAAACTTATTTGTCTACTTATATAAATGTGTACTTTAATTCATTGTAGCAGTGATGTATATTGGGTAGTTATAAACTCTACCTTTTCGTAATTGCATATATATTTATACACAATTCATATAGAATATATAATAACAACTCTTTAACAATGTATGTTGAATCAATGTTGGCGCGTATTTTTAGCCGGATATCTATAAGTATTACTTAAAGTAAACATTTGAACATCCTATCAAACTACAGTTCAGTACTTAAAACTTGCAGATGAAAATCTTGTTATGTTACAATCAAAGATTTAAGATCAAAGATCAATCATTATAATGTGAATTTTAACACAAATGGTAATAGATGACATAAATTAATATTAACCTTTATGACATTAAAATGTAATACCAATGTTTTAAAAACAATGCATAAAAAATGAGGTGACATACGCGACACAGCTAGTGTAACAGTTGTGCACATTTTAAAAGCCTCATACCACACATTTTACACATATATATCAATAACAAATAGCTCACATGCATCGTTATCAGTAAACAAAGGCATTAAATGATAGAGACAAATGATAAATAAATAAATAATTATGAAATGAAATTAAAGTTGCTTACAGTCATGACCTGGAGGAATAACAACAAAACTACCAACCTACATTTTTATTTATGTTCTTATGTGTGTTAATGGCATTGTTTTTACATGTAAGAAACAATAACTTAATTGACAAAATATAAAATACGATGTATGTGCAATTTTTCATTTACCATTCAATTTGTATGTAAAACATTTTATATCTGACAAATCAGTATACAATAACCATCATATATAGCAAACACTGTTATAGTGAATCACTGGTTATAAGACACAAGTAGTTTTGCCCAAAAGTTTGCACTTCTTTATTTAATGTAAAAAAAGAAATAATGTTCAAGTGAACACTGTTTTAAAGAATTATTGATTATAAGGAACACAAATTTTAGTCTAAAAATGCCATGTTTACATCAAACTCCAACTAGAAAGATTCTAATGTTTGTTTTCACTGACATGCATATCATGGAAATCTTGTCATGATTATTTACAAATACACATATTCAAAATTGAAGACTGAAATCTATGCAAATCATATTCAAACTTATACATGAATAAGTTAAGGTGTAGTATAAAGCTATTACTCTTCATTTTATGTCCTTAGGCTTTGTTTTATACATAAATATAACATTAATCATCAAATTATTTCAGTATTTCTTGATATAACAAAGGGAAATGAGATGGCAATCACAAATCCAGATTTGTTATAAATATATACCTTAATCAGAAAAAGAAGATAATGGAAAGCATTCAGCTCGTTATAAATGTTTTTGGTTCTCTATAAAAGCGTCTGATATACAGAACTGATTTGTTATATGCTTACAAGAAACTATTACTCCCCAAATAAGCAACACGTTTTGATTGGCACAGTGAGTTCGCTATAAGCAAAGTTTACTGAATTTTAATCTACTGTAACTTAAATAGGATCTTTTCTTTCATGCTTATTATTTTAATAAATACTAATAGTACACCTCAGTCCAATTTTAGACTAAAGTTTATGCCAGTGTTGTATTATTATCAACCACCAAAATAGTTCAAACACTCTGTCATGTATACATTTTGGATTAGTTTCCTGACTTCTCCGTGAACTCCTTGTATTTCTTTTCTTGAGCCTCGTCTAACTTCATATTTTTCTTGAGAGCTGATTTAGAAAGTTCCTTTCCTTCAGCGTCATGAGTTGTAAGCCCCTGTATAAAACGTACTTCAGTCAGTAAAATAGTTTCAAAAGGGAAAATAAAATTAAACATGAAATGCAAGAAAACATCCTTATGAAACATTAACATGGATTTATTTCCATTTCTTGTCTGGGTTTATGACATATCAATCAGTAATAACCATCTCAGTAACTCTGGCAATGTTTGGACGAATGCTTATCACATGCTTATTACATTTATTACAGTTAGGTAACATTTTGTGTCAATTCTAAGTTTATATCAAATCACAATTTTAAGCAATTTTAAGCTGATTAGTGTCTCATTCAATGAATCATTAGATGTATCATTGGTTTAAACATATTCATTTAACATAATATTCAACGTATGAACAATATCTAAAAAATACATTTTCAATTGCCTGGACAGAAAGCTATAAAGCTTACGTGTCCACTCCCAAAATGTTTGTTTGTTTGGGTTTTAAGTCACACAGACACAGTATAGGTCATTAGGCGACTTTCCAGCTTTACTGGTGGAGGAAGACCTCAGGTGCCCTTCCGTGCATTATTCAGGCACGATCGGGCACCTGAGTAGAACCAACGACGTTCTGTAAGCTAGCTGGATAGCTTCCTCACATGGAAGAATCCAAAGTCCCTGTCGGGATTCGAACCCACAGCGGTGAGGGGCAAATGGTTTTAAGTCAACGGCGTTAACCACTCGGCCACTGACGCCCCTACGCCCAAAATGAATCATTCAATAATGTTTTACATTCAGACCTACATTTTCATCAAATTTTGAGTACTTGTCTGTCTCCATTTTGAAGAGTTTTGATGAAGGTATTTTCTTTTGAGTTTCCTTTTCTGCCTTTTCTTTCTCGGCCTTTTGCTTTTTCAGTTCTTTTTCCTTTATTTTTGGTTCTTCTTGCTGTGAATAAAATATATTTCAAGACTATTATATGAATGCAAGTTTGGCAACCAAATATTACTGAAGTAAAACCGAATACTTTGTGATGAGTAAATGATACAGAAACAAATTTACATCATACTCAATCACACTTAGCTTTATATATTATCTTTCACAGACAATTGTAAGTAACAATTTATGAATTCATATCATGAACATACATGTGAAAATATGACTTGCAGTTTAGAAAAGTATTTCAGCATACTAATGTCGTAAAAGAAAGTACTATTCATTAAAACATAACAGACCTTCATTTTCTCTTCTTTTTCTATAAGTAGTGTTTCTCTATCAACAAGTTTAATTTCTGGAGGTTGACCTTCTTTGTCCTCCAATCTCACACCAAGGTTTTGCAATACTTTATCACGTAGATTGTCACACACCTTCAAAACTGATGTCGCTATTGTAAATAAATGTATTTCTTTAATTATACAATCATTCTGAGAATCAAGCAATGCTTCAAATTAGCGTTTATTCTGACGACCAAATTAAACATTATGCCAAGAGGTTTCTAGAAAAAGTCTTCTATCTGAAATTGTGCTAAATTTAACATGAGAAACTTCATTTCATCTCTGCAAGAGCAGAAATTAAGGCATTGCAGACAGGTTTTGCCTTAAATTTACAGCATCATAAATAATACCTTTATTGTAAATGCATGAAAAACTTTCAGTCAAATCATTAAAAAATATGTTTTTGATTTTTTTACTATAGAAAGACACTCTTTCGTTTATTCCTACCTGAAAAAATATCTGTAAAATATGATTATTTCATTTTTTGACAGAAAAAAACTATATAATTGCAGTAAAATATATAATTTTTACAAATTTGTACCTTTTTCCTCTCTTGCAACTTTTCTTATGTACTCCCAGAAGTTGGAAAATACAGTCAAATATGGCATCAGTTTTTTCTACCTAAAAAATAATGAATTACAATAGTACTTTCTAGTTCAAGAACTTATTTCAACCATAACAGTATTACATCATTTAAAACATAAATAAACTGAAATTTGTAATCTAGACCTTTTGGAATAACAACTAATTTATATTAAATTTATTTTGTTTTATTGTAAAAATTTAGAAACTGTGAAGTGATGCATGCGCCTTCGTTTAGAATGGCTACTTAATGGGGAAAAATTACAAAGTACACATTCAGTAATTACAAGTTTGTATAATTGTATTATTTCAAGGCAATCAATTAGTCTTATCTCTCCACAAGTGCAATTAGCCAATTAAAACACTTTAAAAAAGTAGTATAGATTTACAATAAAATTTCTTTCAATAGAAATTCAGTTTATAAAATAGCATTTGTGTCTGCTTTATTCAGAAATAGACATCTTTCTGCAAAGTCTATGGAATTGAATGTAAATAAAGATCGTCCCATTCTGAAACATTATCTCAATGGCCATTAACTTACTGATAGGTCTTAAAAATCTTTAATATATGACAGTTTCATTGATAAATTTGTACCAATACCGGCTTTTGATAATAAACGAATGTTTGATAAATAATGAGTTATTTTTGTTTCAACTTACATCAACAGTTCCTGTAGATGCTCCACCGGACACTGCTAACCAATCTTCATAAGCTTGCACTGATCCAAATATCTAGAAAACAGAACCACGCATACAATAATTTGGAGGTTAACTTACTACTTGGTACCAATATGGAAAAGCATAGAGAGTAAGAGATGTAAAGTTAAAGAAAGTCTCAGAATAAAATCTCTTTAGTGAAAGACATTGAATAACCTGAATTACAGCAGGCAGTAACCTTGCAAAGGTATATACCAAAGATGGACTTGTCAATCTATCATTTCAGGGAAATGTTCAAAATATATACTGACCATGATCAGATGGTATAGATGGGTAGCCAGTAGAATCTGTTTACACCAGCGGCTGAAACTTGATAACCATTCCATAGGGAAATAGATACTTAAGGTGTGGGTGACCATTTTAAACTGTTTAAAAATTGTGATTTATTATTTTACCAAGAAAAAATTGTTCATATTGAACAGTATTCCTTAGTGGTAAAATTCAGTAAAACATCATCCTAGTGTTATGGATCTTAGTCAGTAATCTACAATAATACCTTAAGAGACATGATAAAAGTTTGGTAAAGAACCTTAAATAAGGATGCTATTAGTTTACTATACTTATAAATAAGTAAAAACCTAAGGTAAAATTGTTTCTCTTGGACAGTTAAGATCCAAAAGGCATGCTTTATTCTCATGACAATATTTCAGGGCCAACACATATAGAAACGTAACCAAAAAATTTAAAAGTAAAGGTATAATGCAATCCACTGATGAATTGTTACTGTGCAACACCTATTTACGATGAATTGTTAATGTGAAAATTCTATCAATGATGCATTGCTTCTGTGTAACACTTATCAATGATGAATTATAACACTTCTTTTTGGAATGTTTATCAAAATGTTAAAACACAAAAAATAACCAAGACTCGATGACACCATTTTCATCAAATGAAAACAAACAAATAGACAGTCTTGTCATAATTTGTTAACTTAAAAGTTCTCTTAATTTCATTCTTTGTGGTTTAAAGGACATTTTGAAAATTCAAATGTTGCATGATAGATACGGGCTTTAACACATAGGGCATCTAAATTCCATTATGTATGATTATTCTAAAAGATTTAGACAGTTTCTGTCTGTTGATTTGCAATTGTCTATTACTTTATAAGTTTATAGCATATCTTTTTCTAATTTGACAGGCTTTTGTGGAAATATCCCCTACTTACCTACTATATGATTTACAACTTCTCAGACAAAAACCGTTTTCGATTCAACCTTTAATCAAATCCTTTCCATCACAGGCAGGTTCTATCAAAAGGACTTCCTTTTAGCCTGTATCTTGTTTAAAATATTTACATATTCTGACAGATGCCTTCTCTGGGCTCCAATTTTTCTTTAATTTTCTCTGTAGAAAAGTAGACAGGTATGACAAATAACCAGATAATTAATTTAATAAAAAATATGGTACAGTTGTATATGCCATTAATGGAAAAAGAAATCATCATATAGCTTTTCTGTTACTGCATAGAGGTTAGTAGATTTTATTTCCTAATGCTTCTGTGAAGTAAACATTCAATTTAGCAATGAAGAACATTAATGCGACACTGTAATAGAAAGGATCATCACGGTTAAAGAGAGATAACCGTGTCTTTCTCATAGAATCTTCGTGATCACTCTTAAAACTAAATAATGCATAGGATGTGCTACTTCCTGTGTTAAATACTTTATGATTTTGGCATGGAAATCTATTTTTTTTAATGCACAATGTTTACTACATTTCAGCCAATAGTTACAAAAAGAGATCCATCCAGTAAATTAACAAATAATAAAAGGAAAATAATGTGTATAAAGCTTGTACATTGGAATCAATATGTTCAACATATATAAACAAGAGCACCGATAGAATAACTAGCTAGAACAAAAGAATAATTGTCTTCTTATGTTTGTTCTTAAAGTCTTTAGAAGATGTCGTAAAATGAATCTGAAATCCATAATTATGAAGTTGTTTGATGGAATACATAAATATTGAATAATGGACAAAGTATCAATAATTTAATATAGCATTGAAAAAGTGTTTGTTATATTAAGACGACTACATAATTTTTCTATAAAATAAAAATGCATTTTATGAAAATAAAACTTGAAATGCACACCTCTTATGAAGAAAACAACCAACATTTAAAGTTTACCTTGAAAATTCTTAGGATATCAATTTGTTTTTAAATATCAGGAAAGTTATTACAAAATCAAAATAGATGTGAACTAATTAATTCAAAGAATACAGTGCACTCAAATGGCATATTTAACTGGTGGCACCTGCGTTGTTTGTAGTTTTTGTTAAGCACACATGATATATTTTCATTGGTTAGCTTAAGTAAAAGGCCTTTATAAGGTCAAGGTCAAAAGCAAAATATAATCACAACGTGTAAGCCTTGACATACACTACTCACCATTATTCTGATATAGTTTAAATGATCTTTTTACATTTATTTGCAAAGAAAAAAACATTAACACAGTAAAGGAGAGCAAATCACAATACATTTATATCATTTATATTTATCTGCATTATACATGTAGAAAGATGCATTATAACTAAAATTAATTATCTCCGTTTTGTTTAAGTGTTATCCAAAAACTATTTTACCATGCAGAAAAAAAATCCTTAATAAATAGACGATATTGAATGAGTGTAAGTTCAATACTGAATTTATTGCACGAGTTGAATAAAATTATATTATGCGAGCCTCTGGCGAACATAATATTATTTTATTCAACGAGTGCAATAAATTCAGTAATGAACTTACACGAATTTAGTATTCTATTTATCACATACCCAAAATAAAGACCGTTTAAAGTGAAATAAGAGTCATTTTCATTGACGCGCCTATAGTATAACGCTAACATTCAGCGCGTCTTTACACTATGTTTGTACAACGCTAATGACGTCACGTCAAAATATATGCACGGCCGTGCAATACCATTTTTACGGAGTCGCAAAATCGACACGGGTGTGTGATAAATAGCCATATGAGGAAAAATAGTTTGGTATATCAAAACATATTGCCTCATGACTTATTTCATGAGCACTGGTACACTGTAGCCAGGAATCAATTGCATTGGCATATTAGATCTAAAGGTTTTAATGAATAAGGAAAATCCAACTGTTAAAATACCACATAGTGCTTCATGTACTTCCTCCCTTGTGTCACTGAACCTGTAAAATAACACTATCAATGTAAATAAATGTATATTACATGTTAAATTATGTACAATGTATACTACTGTAATGTACATACAAGTATAGTACAATTTATGTTATAACTAAGTAAATCTGTACATTGTACTATGTACATAAAAGTAATGTACAGTGTATTGAAAAATTATGTATTATGTACATAGAAGTAGTGAATGATTTATAATTATGTACTATGTACATAATATTAATGTACATAACAGTAATGTTCATTGTATGGTATCTTATGTACTATATATGTTTAATATACTTATGTACAATTTGTTAGTATTATAGAATGTATATTATCCCAATATTACATATAATAATGTACATAACATATTACATAAGTACTCTGAAAGGTGATGAACCATGTATCTTGTAGTAATATACACTGTCTCACAAAAAACAATTACACATAAAAGGTATTTTTAACCGGGTTTTTTGACATGACAGGACAAGCAATATTTTTTCAAGATTAATATTCTATGTGATGAGGGTCTAGACCAATAACTTGTATTAAAAGATTTCAGATCTTTCCTTCACTTTGGTTTTCCAGAATAATTATTCAAATGTGAAAAATGACCTAGTTGCAATGCTTTTCAATCAAATCAGGTTAAGAATAGCATAAAACTAGAAATGTGTCCATAGGACACGGGTGCCCCAACACGCTTCTGTTCTGTCAATCTTATGACTCTAGGTCAAATATTTTTTTGGGACTACATGTGCCACAAGTTGAAAACTAAAAATCTTTCAATAAGTAAAGGGCAAGAACTTTACAACTACTGAATAAATCCACACGGGTGCCCCCACACGCCACTGTTCTATCAATCTTATGACTCTAGGTCAAATATTTTTTGGACTACATGTGCCACAAGTTGAAAACCAAAAATCTTTCAATAAGTAAAGGGCAAGAACTTTACAACTACTTAATAAATCCACAAGCAAACCCCAAGGAGGTGCATAAGTACACATGCTGACCAACATTCTTGTAAACTTTCAGGCCTACAAGTCAAATACTTTCTGAGCTATGCATGAATAAGCAACATTCCCGTAAGGTGTCATGACTCTATGTCAAATCCTTTTGAGTTACATGTGAGACAAGTTGAAAATTGCAAAATTTTACTAAGTCAAGGGCAATAACTCTAAAAATACTATATAAATTCACACGAAAATACCTAGGTGCACAACAACACATGCTGATCAACATTCCTGTAAAGTTTCATGACTCTAGGTCAAATCCTTTTTGAGTTACATGCGACACAAGTTGAAAATTGCAAAATTTTACTAAGTCAAGGGAAATATTTCTAAAAATACTATACAAATCCACAGGAAAATACACAGGCGCACAGCTACACATGCTGATCAACATTCCTGTAAAGTTTCATGACTCTATGTCAAATCCTTTTTGAGTTACATGCGACAAAAGTTGAAAATTGCAAATATTCATAAGTCAAGGGAAATAACTCTAAAAATACTAAATAAATCCACACGTAAATACTCAGGTGCACAACTACACATGCTAATCAACATTCCTATAAAATCTTTATAACTCTTGGTCAAATACTTTTTGAGTTATGTGCGACACAAGTTGAAAATTGTCAATTCTTACTAAGTCAAGGGCAATAACTCTAAAAATACTAAATAAATCCACACGTAAATACCCAGGTGCACAACTGCACATGCTGATCAACATTCCTTTTAAGTTTCATGACTCTAGGTCAAATATTTTTGACACAAAAGAGAACAGACGGACAAGGGTAAATCTAAAAGCACCCCCACCCCCCTAAAGTGGGGGCACAAATATAATTTTCAATTTATTTCTGATTGTATTTCTTAATAGTCTTTTATATATTTCTGTTTAAATGTCCCAGCTGAAATATATAAAAAATCAAATTTTATGTTTAAGGCTTTATTGACCTCAGTGGATTTCCTTTAACAAGGAAGTTGCTGTCAGAGATGTTTTAAAAGTAAACAACAAATAAGTTTCTGATGAGATGAAAATGAAGAAAGTGTTGTTAATGCCCTCGTTATCAGCAGTCTTTCACTTTCAGAATAAATATGAATACCAAAATTTGGTAAATGTATATCTTTATACAGATAATATATTATACTCAGACCAATCTGTTATGGCAAATGAAATGTTATGCTATAACCTATATCATTCTACATGTTCTATGCCAATATTTGAATGATAACTGATAATATCAGCTCAACCAATTCATCATATAAATATACAGAGATCAAATGTTAGAAGAAATAAGTTTTAAGGAAACAACTCAGCACACACTTTTGCATAAATTCTCTGCAGCCAAAGTTCTCTGTAATCTACCATTTATATTGTAAGGCTTCAAATAAATGCTTCCCTAGAAATTGTAATCATCTTATGTAACATTAATAAGACTCCTTTTTTTAGTTTATTGGATTTTTATGTCGCACCAGCACAGTCTGTGTCATATTGCAACTTTACTGGTGGAGAAAGACCCCAGGTACATGCCTCTCAGTGCATCAATTCGGGCACCTGAGAATAACCTTTCAGGTAAGAACGAGCAGCTAAGTAGAACCACCAACATGCTAACTAGATTCCTTTTTCACATAAAGGAATCCCAAGTCTTTGACAGGATTCAAACGCTTTGGCAGGATTCGAACTTACAACAGTGAGGTATAAGTGAATTCATGTCAACAAGCTTAACCACTCAGCCAAGGACACCTCCAGATAAGATTCAATATGGTTATAAGAATATATCACATCTCAATGGAAAATGTTTTTACTAGGAATACAAAAACATGTAACGGAACACTTCATTCCCACTAAAATAAGGCCCTACATGATAAGTAATATCTGCAGAGTTCAATAGCTTCACACAAACAACAGAGAGCACAAATTTTACATTTGGAAAGAAATAAGCATGTGTACACCTTTAAAAGCAATGAATAATATTAACCTTTGCAGCCAGTATAGAACCAGGCTAGCCTACACTCATGTACAGGCTCTACACTGTTGGAAGCTCAACTTCTCTTCTTTGATACTGAAATCCCTTAAACAAGAGGGACATGATGGCCCTGAGTCGCTCACCAGAAACAACTGCTTTTCAGGGGTGGAAATTATCCATTGTCAATATTTTCTAATATATAATTTGAGCATAGAATATGTTTAAACAATAATTTGAAGAAATGCCATGACCTGGGGCATTTAAGCTTAAGCTTAAACGGCGCCAATCAAATTAATATGAGCAAACTTGATATCAACTGATAATGGATAAAGATAAAATTCAAAACCTATCGCATGTTCGTAGATGTTATCTTGCATATTTTTTAATAATAATATATGCTTTTTCTGTATCAATCATGGTAATTGTTTTGTTTAATCATGGTAATATGCTTTCTTTTTTATCAATCAGTGTCACTCCTTTATTTAATCATGGTATATGCTCTCTTTTCACTGCATTGTTTTAATTATAGTATATACTTTCTTTTGTATTCATCAGTGACACTCCTTTGTTTTAATTATAGAACATGTATATGCTTTTTCTGTATCAGTCATGGTCATTGCTTTGTTTAAATCATGGTAATATGCTTTCTTTAGTATAAATCATGTTATATGCTTTCCTTTGTATCCATTGTGGTCACTCCTTGTTTTAATCAGGTTATATGGCTCATTGTTTTAATCATGTTATATGCTTACTTTTGTATCAGTCATGGTCACTGCTCTGCGTTTTTATCATGATGTATGCTTTCTTGCGCATTAATCATGGCCATTGCTTTTTTGTATTATTCATGGTTGTGTTGTTTTGTATTAATCATTGTCATTTCTCCATCGTTTTTTTGAAGAATTAAGGTAGATCTAAGACATTTTCTATCATGGTCGTAGCACAATATGAATTGTGATACAATTAACTTCATACTCCACTTATGGTCATAAAAGAAGAAAACAACCTGAACAAATATTTCTTTTTCACATTTTATTTTGACAGACAACACCATTTCTAGAAAGTCAAATACAGTAAAACAAAAACATAGAGGAAGATTCGGTGCAGACAAGCGACTAGGCAAGTGTCTTTGAAAACTATTTAAATTATGAAAAAAATACTTTAAAATCTTTTTCTACATCTACGAATTGCCAACATTATTTAGATTTCAAAAGAAAAATAGTTTCATTCTTTAAACCGGTTAAAGAAATGTTTTAGAAAGTTTATGTTCACGTAATTATTTTACTACAGTATTACTACAGTATTAATCACCAATTCATATATTTTTATTAATATACGTCAGTAACAAAGAGAATACAAATACTAAAACAATATTTCATCATAAAAAGTATCATAAAAATGTGTTTATTACTGGAAATGATAAATTAGTATATGGAAAGCACTATACGAACAACCATTATTAATTATTTTGATAACACAATAGTCATACTAAATATATCTGCAAGGGAATAAATTAGAAACGAAATAATATATAATTAATGACATGCGTTCATGTGTAACTTTGGTTTTTACACTTCTTACAAATTCATCTTTGTCGTAGACACTTGTTTGTCTACTTACATAAATATGTACTTTAATTCATTGTAGCAGTGATGTATGTTGGGTACTTATGAACTCTAACTTTTTGTAATTGTATATATATTTATACACAATTCATATAAAATATATAATCACAAAATTTATGTTGGATTTATACATGTTGGTGTGTATTTTCAGCCGGATGTCTATAAGTATTACTTAAAGTAAACATTTGAACATCCTATCAAACTACAGCTCAGTACTTAAAACTTGCAGATGAAATTTTTGTTATGATACAATCAAAGATTAAGGCATAGATACTTGTACTATTTGATCTGCAATTACTCTTATATATCTGTTTTATAATGAAATAGTTTAAACAACGGTAATAAACATGAAACAATCTTAACCTTTATGACATTAAAATGTAATAACAAAATGTTTTAAAAACAATAAATAAAGTGACGTAAGCAACAGGACTTGTGTAACAGACTAACAGTTATGCACATTTCAAAAGCCATATACCACAGGTTTTGCACAATTGTAAAGCATTTATATATAATATCATTAACAAATAGATCACATGTATCGTTATCAGTAAACAAGAGGGCCATGATGGCCCTGAAGTCGCTCACCTGTATATAGGCCCCCGTAGCGGGGCCAGTTTAAACCCCAGGGCTTTTATTTGAACAAACTTGGTAGACACCCATTAGAAGATGTTTCATGCTAAACATCTAAGGTCTAGCTGGTCAAGGTTTTTCTTTACACATATAGTTAAAAACAATGACACACCTGGGGCAGGGCCAGTTTGAACCCCAAGGGCTTTTATTTGAACAATCTTTGTAGACACTTACTAGAAAATGTTTCATGCTTAATATCTGAACTCTTGTTATTCGGATTTTTTTAAGAAGATTTTTAAGTTTTTGCTATACACATATAAGGAAAATCAATGACCCCCAGGGTTGGGCCAATTTTGACTTACTAGAAGATGTTTCTAAACTCTAGCTATTTTGGGTTTTTTCAAAGAAGATTTTTAAGTTTTTGCTATACACATATAAGGAAAATCAATGTCCCCTGGGGCGGGGCCAATTTTGACCCCAGGGCTTTTATTTGAACGAACTTTGTAGACACTCACTAGAAGATGCTTCGTGCTTAATATCTAAACTCTAACTATTTGAGTTTTTTCAAAAAAGATTTCTTAAGTTTTTGTTATACACATATAAGGAAAATGAATGACCCCCGGGGCGGGGCCAATTTTGACCCCAAGGCTTTTATTTGAACTAACTTGGTAGACACTAACAAGAAGATGTTTCATGCTTAGTATCTAAACTCTAGCTATTTGGGTTTTTTCAAAGAAGATTTTATAAGTTTTTGCCATACACACATATAAGGAAAGTCAAAGACCCCCTGGGGCGGGGCCAATTTTGATTCCAGGGCTTTTATTTGAACAAACTTGGTAGACACTCACCAGAAGATGTTTCATGCAACATATCTAAGCTCTAGCTCTTTGGGATTTTTAGAAGAAGATATTTAAAGTTTTTTTCTTTTGGTTGCCATGGCAACCAGAGTTCTGCATGGAATTAAATTCTTTGAACAATTTTCAAAGGTGACCACAAAAGGAACATTCCTGTGAAGTTTGGATGAAATTGGCTAAGTGGTTTATGAGGAGATGTCATTTAAAGTAAAAGTTTACGGACGACGGACGCCGGACGGACGCCGGACGAAAAGCGATCACAAAAGCTCACCCTGTCACTTTGTGACAGGTGAGCTAAAAAGGTAATTAGTGATAGAAATTATTCTTGTGCATTAAAATAAAGGATAAACTACACAAACCACCAATTTCTTTATTAACTTTCTGATGTGTATTAATGGCATTGTATTTTTACATGTAAGAAACAATAACTTAATTGACAAAATATAAAATGCAATGCCATTTTTCATTTACCATTGAATTTGTATGTAAAAATATTTATATCTGACAAATCAATAAACAATAACTTTCACATATAGCAAACACTGTTATAGCGAATTACTGGTTACAAGACACAATTAGTTTTGGCCCAAAATCTTGCACTTCTTTATTTAATGTAAAAAAGAAATTGTTCAAGTGAACACTGTTATAAAGAATTACTGATTATAAGGAACACAAATTTTAGTCTCAATTGACAAAATACGCTGAAAATAACATGTTTATATCGAACTCCAAATAGAAAGACAACTTATTCACAAAGATGTTTGTTTTCACTGACATGCATTAAAACTGGTTGAATGAATTTGCACCGTTTTCAGTAATAACTTGTATATATTAGTTTTTTATTTATAAATAGCCTATTATGTAACGCATAAATGATATTTGCACATTTTTATCAATTTTGATCCTTTTAACAATGGCATCAATCAGTACAATATAAGAAAAATTTTGTAGAGGTGTGTTTAACTTGAAAAACAATGTATGGAAAAGGTGTCATGATTATTGACTGTTAAACATATTCCACATTGAAGATTGAACATTTTCTATGCAAATCATATTCAAACTAATACATATGTAAATACAGATGTAGTATAAAGACATTTCTCTTAATTTTATGTCCTGTGGCTTTGTTTTACACATTCATATAACATAAACAATCAAATTATTTCAGTATTTTCTTTATATAAGAAAGGGAAATGAGATGACAATCACAAACTAAGATGAGTTTCATTGATACATTTGTACCAATACTGGCTTTTGATAATAAACAAAGGTATGATAAATAATGAGTTATTTTTGTTTCAACTTACATCAACAGTTCCTGTAGCTGCTCCACCAGAAACTGTCAACCAATCTTCATCAGCTTGTACTGCTCCAAATATCTAGAAAACAGAACCACACATACAAAATTTGAAGGTTAACTACTTGGTACAAATATGGAAAAGCATAAAGATTAGGATGTCTAATTCAAGCTTCAACCTACAGTGCTTTCTTGAAAGACATTGAATTACCCGATTTACAGCAGGCAGTATCCTTGCAAAGGTATATCTTAACTTATAGACTAGCTTTTAATCTTCATCTGCTAATTACTTCAAATGGACTTAGCTTTTAATCTTCATCTGCTAATTACTTCATATGGACTTATCAATCTATCATTCCAGGGGAAATTTCCAAATATGTATAGACTGAAAAATGAACAGTGCAGACCATGATCAGATGGCATAAATGTGCAGGCTGATTTTGCTCTTCACTGGACACATAGGTATAATCTTCAGCCACTCCATCATAGAGTTATGAATTTTGGTCAGTGAACTTCACTTATACCATAAGGGACACGATAGAAAATTGTTGCAAAATCTTATAAAAAATTCCTACATGTAAAACGGTAAAAACCTTAAGGAAGACCTGTCTGTGGACAACTCGCTCCACTTTTGTCAGTGCAAAATAGACAAGGGGGCATTACTATGCAAACATGCTTATCAGACTTACCTGCCCTTGAAAGGTGGATAGCTTTTTAAGTTTCTGAGAAAGTAGACCTTAACGAAAAGGTTAACCAACGCTGACACCAACGAAAAAGTGGAAGTGAAGCTAAACACATTTTTGTACGAAGAAGTCTTGAATGCAAAAACCTCATTGCAAAATCTTAACTAAGAATGCTTTTGATTCCCAATGGTTATAAATATGTAAAACCCCATGCTAAAACTGTTTGTCTGGGACAGTCATGTGCATTTAAGATAAAAAATTCCTATATTGTGACAATTTTCATGGCAAACACATAGAGGACTTTAACCTGAAATTTTAAAAGTAAAGGTATAAACGCAATCCACCGATAAATTGTTACTGTGTAACACTTTTCAACAATAAATTGTTACACTTCACTTTGGAATGTCTATCAAAATGTTAAAACACAAAATACAACCAATACTCGATAACACCATTTTCATGAAATGAAAACAAACAAAAAGACAATAATCTAACTGAACATATTTCTTACGTCAGCAAAAGAAGAAATATAACATTCAAGGAAGACCTTAAAATACCCTGTCTTGTCAAAATTTGTTAACTTAAAGGTTCACTTTATTTCATTCTTTGTGGTTTAGAAGACATAGCGAAAATTCCAATGTTGCATGATAGATGCGGGCTTTAACATATAGGGCATCTCAATTCCATTATATATGATTATTCTATAGGTTTTAGACAGTTTCTGTCTGTTGATTTGCAATTGTCTGTTACTTTATAAGTTTAAAGCATATCTTTTTCTAATTTGACAGGCTTTTGTGGAAATATCCCCTAGTTACCTACTATATGATTTACAACTTCTCAGACAATCACCATATTTGGTTCAACCTTTAATCAAATCATTTCCATCACAGGAAGTTTCTATCAAAAGAACTTCCTTTAAGCCTGTATCTTGTTTAAAACATTTACATATTCTGACAGATGGCCTCTCTAGCTTCCAATTTTTCTTTAATTTTCTCTGCGGAAAAGTAGACAGGTATGACAAATTACCAGATAATTAATTTAATAAAAATATGGCACATGACATTAATGGAAAAAGAAATCATCATATAGTTCTTTCTGTTACAGCATTTAGAGTAAATATGAAAGTGCTATAGATTTTATTTTCTGAAGTTTCTGTGAACTAAACACTCAATATAGCAATTAAGAACATTAATGCAACACTGTTACAAAAAGGCTTGTCATGGTTAAAGAGAGATAACCATGTCCTTCGTGATCACTCTTAAAACTAAATAATGCATCAGATAAGTTACGCCTTTTGTTAAATACTATATGATTTTGGCATGGAAATCTAATTTTTTGAACTACCTTTCAATAGTTTCATAAAGAATTCAGTCCAGTAAAATAACAAATAATAAAATGAATATAATGTGTATAAAGCTGGTACATTGGTATCAATATGTCCAACATATATAAACAAAAGAATAATTGTTTTTGTATCTTTGTTCTTAAAGTCTTCAGAAGATATCGTAAAATGAAGTGAATCTGAAATCCATGTTTGATGGAATATATTGAATAATGGACAAAAGTATCAATGATTTAATATAGTAGCATTGAAAAAGTGTTTGTTATACTAAGAAGACTACATAATTTTTCTATAAAATAAAATACATTTATGAAAATAAAACTTGAAATGCACATGTCTTATGAAGAGAACAACCAACATATAAAGTTTACCTTGAAAATTTTTAGGATGAATGCTCCAATATTTTCCAGTAGAATTCGATTTGGTCTCCTCTTATTTCGGATTTCAGGGACATATATATTGCAGGCTTTAATTAAATCTTTTATTGCATCACATGTTCTTTTAGTGTCTATAGAATATGTAAAGAGAAACAGTGGGAGTGTCTTTATCATTTACAAAATGAAACTTGAAGAATGTTAAACCATATTAGTATTTAAATTTGTAACTTTATTATCAATCTGTTTTTAAATATCAGGAAAGTTATTATAAAATCAAAATAGATGTGAACTAATAATTCAAAGAATACAACGGCATATTTAATTGTTGGCACCTGGATTCTTTGTAGTCTTTGCTAAGCATAAATGATATATTTTCATTGGTTAGCTTATGTAATAAGGCCTTTATAAGGTCAAGGTCAAAGGCCTAATATAACTACTAACCATTACTCTGATATAGTTACAAGATCTTTTTACATTTATTTTGCCAAGAAAAAACATTAAAGGAGAGAAAACCACAATTCATTTATATCTATTGCATTATACATGTCTAAAGATGCATTTTTAACTGAAATATTCTGCATTATACATGTCGAAAGATGCGTTTTAACTGTAATATTCATCTATCTTTTGTTTAAGTGTTATCCCAAAACTTTTTTACCATATATGAGGAAAAATTCATTGGCATATCAAAACATATTTGCCACAAGACTTTATTCATGAGCACTTAAGTACATTGTAGCGAGCACAAGTTTGAAATTACAGTTACAGGAGTCAATGAATTGGCATATTAAATCTAAATGTTTTAATGTATAAGGAAAATCCAACTTTTAACATACCACATAGGGCTTCATGTACTTCCTCCCTGGTGTCACTGTACCTGTAAAATAACACTATCAATGTGAATAAATGTATATTACATGTTAAATTATGTACAATGTATTCTACAGTAATAAATGTACAATTTATGTTAAAACTAAGTAAATATGTACATTGTACTATGTACATAATATTAATGTTCAATGTATTGTAAAATTATGTACTTTGTACATAGAAGTAGTGTATGATTTATAATTATGTACTATATACATAGTAACAGTATGCAATTCATTTTAATATGATTATGTACTATGTACATAAGAGTAATGTTTAATGTATGGTATATTGTGTACTATCTATGTTTAATATACTAATGTACAATATGTTAGTATTATAGAATGTATATTATCCCAATATTCCATATAATAATGTACATTACATATTACCTAAGTACTCAGAATAGTGATGAACCATGTATCTTGTAGTAATATACACTGTCTCACAAAAACAGATTACACATTAAAGGTATTTTAACCGATTGTTTTTTTGACATGACGGAACTGGAAATATTTTTTTGAGATTAATATTCTATCTGATGAAGGTCTAGACCAATAGTTTGTATCAAAAGATTTCAGATCATTCCATCACTCTGTTTTTCCAGAATAATTATTTAAATGTGAAAATGACTAAGTTGCAATGCTTTTCAATCAAATCAGGCTAAAAAAAGCAAAAAAATACAAATAGTATTTTTCTTAGTTGTCTTTTGTATTTCTTTCTGTTTTAAGTGTCCCAGCTGAACTATGTAAATAAATCAAATTTTATGTTTTAGGCTTTATAGACATCAGTGGATTTCCTTAAACAATGAAGTGGCTGTCAGAGATGTTTTAAAAGTAAACAATAAAGAAGTTTCTGGCGAGTTGAAAATGTAGAAAGTGTTGTTAATGCCCTCGTTATCAAAAGACAGCAGTCTTTCACTTTCAGAATAAATATGAATATCAAAATTTGGTAACTTTATACAGATAATATATTATACTCAGACCAATCTGTTATGACAAATTAAATGTTATGCTATAACCTATATCAATCTATGCCAATATTTGAATGAAAACTGGTAATATCAGCTCAACCAATTCATCATGAAAATAGGCTGAGATCAAAAGCTAGAAGAAATAAGTTTTAAAAAAACAGCTCAGCACTCCACTTTTGCATAAATTCTCTGCAGCTAAAATTATCTGCAATCTACCATTTATATTGTAAGGCTTCAAATAAATGCTTCCCTTGCAATACTAAACATATTACATGTATGCAACATTGATAAGATTCCCATTTTTGTTTGTTGGATTTTATGTCACACCAACACAGTCTGGGTGATATGGCAACTTCACAGCTTTACTGGTGGAGAAAAGCATCAGGTGCCGTTCTATGCACCAATTTGGGCACATGAGAAGTACCTTTCAGGCAAGAGCGAGCAGCTGAGTAGAACCTAGAACATGCTAACTGGAAAGCTTTTTCACATAAAGGAATCCCATGTCTTTGGCAGGATTCGAACGCTTTGGCTAGATTCGAACTTACAGCAGTGAGGTATAAGTAAAAATCTATGTCAACAAGCTTGACCATTCAGCCATTGGCACCCCCAGATAAGATTCAATATGGTCATAGGAATATAAAACATCTCAATGGAAAATGTTTTTTTACTGGGAATACAAAACATGTAACTGAACACTTCATTCTCATTGTAAAAAAGGTACCACATGATAAGAAAACCTGCCGAGTTCAACAGCTTGACAAACAACAGAGGGCACAAACTTTGCATTTGGAAAGTAACAAGTATGTCTTCACCTTAAATTCACTTAACAATGAAGGTGAATTACCTTTGCAAACAGTATAGAACCAGGCTAGCCTGCACTTATGTACAGTCTGGCCAGGCTCTGCACTGTTGGTAACTTAATTTTGTCTTCTTTTGTTATTGAAATCCCTTACACCTTGAAGAACTGTTCTAAATTCAATGCAGTTAAAATCCATTTACAAATGCCTAATGTTGAGCAGGATTTTTTAATACACCTGTGTAATAGGACACAGAATCGGATATCTTGCTCTATTTTACGTCATTGTAGATCATTCTAAATTCTGCATAATACTAATCGTGAATGGTCTAAGACTTTTTATATAAATGTTATCAACTGATATGGATAAAGATGAAATTCAAAACCTATGGCATGTTCGGAGATGTTATCTTGCATATTTTTTTTTAATAATATATGCTTTCTTCTGTACCAGTCAGTCAGTCATTGCTTTGTTTTAATCATGTTATATGCTTTCTTTTATATCTTTTGTATCAATCATGGTCACTGCTTTGTTTTAACTACAGTATATACTTCTTTTTTATTCATCAGTGACACTCCTTTGTTTTAATTATAATACATTATTCATCAGTGACACTCCTTTGTTTTAATTATAATACATTATTCATCAGTGACACTCCTTTGTTTTAATTATAGTACATGTATATGCTTTCTTCTGTATGCTTTGTTTTAATCATAGTATATGCTGTTTTTTGTATAAATCATAGTCACTGCTTTATTTTTATCATGCTATATGCTTTCTTTTGTATCAATTGTGGTCACTCCTTGTTTTAATCAGGTTATATGGCTCATTGTTTTAATCATGTTATATGCCAACTTTTGTATCAGTCATATTCACTGCTCTGCGTTTTTATCATGGTGTATGCTTTCTTTTGCATTAATAATGGCCATTGCTTTTTTGTATTATTCATGGTTGTGTTGTTTTGTATTAATCATTGTCATTTCTCTATCAGTTTTTTTAAGAATTAAGGTAGATCTAAGACATTTTCTATCATGGTCGTAGCACAATATGAATCGTGATACAATTAACTTCATACTCCATTAATGGACATGAAAGTAAAGAAAACAACCTGAACAAATATTTCTTTTTCACATTTTATTTTGACAGACAACACCATTTCTAAAAAGTCAAATACAGTAAAACAAAAACATAGAGAAAGATTCGGTGCAGACAAGTGGCTAATCGAGTGTTTTTGAAAACTATTTAAATTATGAACAAATACTTTAAAATCTTTTTCTACATCTACAATTTCTCAACATTATTTAGATTTCAAAGGAAAAATAGTTTCATTCTTTAAACGGTTAAAGAAATGTTTTTAGAAAGTTTATGTTCACGTAACTATTTTACTACAGTATTACTACAGTATTAATCACCAATTCATATATTTTTATTAATATACGTCAGTAACAAAGAGAATACAAATACTAAAACAATATTTCATCATAAAAAGTATCATAAAAATGTGTTTTTACTGGAAATGATAAATTAGTATATGGAAAGCACTATACGATCAACCATTATTAATAATTTTGATAACAAAATAGTCATACTAAATATATCTGCAAGGGAATAAATAAGAAAAAAAATATTATATAATTAATGACATGTGTACATGTGTAAGTTTGTTTTTTACAATTCTTACAAATTCATCTTTGTTGTAGACACTTGTTTGTCTACTTACATAAATATGTACTTTACTTCATTGTTGCAGTGATGTATGTTGGGTACTTAAGAACTCTATCTTTTTTGTAATTGTATATATATTGTATATATTATGGTACACAATTCATATTAAAATATATAATCACAACTGTTGAACAATTTATGTTGGATTTATACATGTTGGTGTGTATTTTCAGCCGTATGTCTATAAGTATTACTTAATGAAAACATTTGAACATCCTATCAAACTACAGTTCAGTACTAAGTCTTTTATTTTTTGTTATGTTACATTCAAAGATTCAGGCATAGATACTTGTATTATTTCATCTGCAATTACTCTTATATACTGCAATTACTCTTATACATCTGTTTTATAATGAAATAGTTTAAACAAAACGGTAATAACATGAAATAATCTAAACCTATATGACATTAAAATGAATACCAAAGTTTTAAAAACAATAAATAACGTGACGTAAGCAACATGACTTGTGTAACAGACTAACAGTTATGAACATTTCAAAAGCCATATACCACTGGTTTTGCACAATTGTAAAGCATTTATATATAATATCATTAACAAATAGATCACATGTATCGTTATCATTAAAAAAGGTTATTAGTGATAGAAATTATTCTTGTGCATTAAAATAAAGGATAAACTACACAAATCACCAATTTCTTTATTAACTTTCTGATGTGTATTAATGGCATTGTATTTTTACATGTAAGAAACAATAACTTAATTGACAAAATATAAAATACAATGTATGTGCCATTTTTCATTTACCATTCAATTTGTATGTAAAAATATTTATATCTGACAAATCAATATACAATAACCTTCACATATAGCAAACACTTTTATAGTGAATTGCTGGTTACAAGACACAATTAGTTTTGGCCTAAAATTTTGCACTTCTTTATTTAATGCAAAAAAGAAATATTGTTCAAGTGAACACTGTTATAAAGAATTATTAATTATAAGGAACAAAAATTTTAGTCTCAATCGACAAAATACGCTGAAAATAACATGTTTATATCAAACTCCAAATAGAAAGACAACTTATTCAACAAGAAGTTTGTTTTCACTGACATGCATTTAAACTGGTTGAATGAATTTGCACTGGGTTCAGTAATAACTTGTATATATTAGTTTTTTTATTTATAAATAGCCTATTATGTAACACACTTTAGATCATTTTTACAATGGCATCAATCAGTACAATATAAAGCTTTTTTGTAGAGGTGTGTTTAACTTGAAAAACAATGTATGGAAAAGGTGTCATGTTTATTGAATAATAAACATATTCTACATTGAAGATTGAACATTTTCTATGCAAATCATATTCAAACTAATACATATGTAAGTACAGATGTTGTATAAAGACATTTCTCTTAATTTTATGTCCTGTGGCTTTGTTTTACACATTCATATAACATAAACAATCAAATTATTTCAGTATTTTTTTATATAAGAAAGGGAAATGAGATGACAATCACAAACTAAGATGAGTTATAAATATATACCTTAATCAGAAATAGAAAAAAATGGTGAACATTCAGCTCGTTATAAATGTTTTTGGTTCTCTATAAAAGCGTCTGATATACAGAACTGATTTGTTATATGCTTACAAGTTACAAAAAACTATAACTCCCAGAATAAGGAACATGTTTCGAATGTTACAGTTAGTTGGCTGTAAGCAAAGTTTACTGTATATTAATCTTCTGTAACTTTAACAGGATATTTCCTTTCATGGTCTTTATCATTTAAACTGTTAAATAAATACTTTAAGCACACTTCTGTCCCATTCTAGACCTAAATTTTATGCCAGTGTTGTGTAATTATCAACCAACAAAATAGTTCAAAAACTTTGTCAGGCAGACTAGTTTCCTGACTTCTCCGTGAACTCCTTGTATTTCTTTTCTTGAGCCTCGTATAACTTCATATTTTTCTTGAGAGCTGATTTAGAAAGTTCTTTTCCTTCTGCATCATGAGTGGGAAGTCCCTGTAAGATACGTATTTCAGTCATTCAAAGGAAATTGTTATAATATCAAAGAAAACATAACTTCTGTAAACATGCAGTATATGAAAATATCCTAACGTAACAATTAAGGATTTTTTTCTTTTTCTTGTCTGGATTTATGATTTATTCTAGTCAAACTTTTAATCAGAAAAGGTATAACCATGATTAGAATTTCTAAATCATATCAATCAGTTAAGTATTATCACTGCAACCATCTCACTATCTCTTGCAATAAAATATGGCTGAACGCTTATCATGTGCATTTCACGCATAAGTTTAGGAACAATTTGTGTCAATTCTAAATTTACATCAAATGACAATTTTAAAGTGATTCGTGTCTCAGTCAATGTAAAATAACAACATTTTTTAATTCCAAGCTTGAAATCAAGATTTCAACTCATTCCTTTGGGAGAAGCCATCAAATCGTTCTGATTATTTTTTGATGTTATGGTCTGTAAGTAAAGATCACTATCTATGTAATTAAACAAATATTCTATCACCAGAAATTAATCATAAGATATATCATTAAAATACCTTTTTACATTCAGACCTACCTTTTCATCAAACTTTGAGTACTTGTCTGTCTCATTCTTGAAGAGTTCTGATGGAGGTATTCTCTTCTGGGCTTCTTTTTCTGCCTTTTCTTTCTCTGCCTTCTGCTTTTTCAGTTCTTTTTCTTTTCGCTTCGCTTCTTCAAGCTATGATACAAAAAAAAAAATAAACACTATTATATTTATGTGAGTATGGAAAGCAAATATTACTAAAGTAAAACTCAATACTTTGAGATATGTAAATGATACAGAAACAAATTTACATCATACTCAATCACACTTATCATTATATATTATATTTCACAGACAATTGTAAGTAAAAGTTTCTGAATTCATATCATAAACATACATGTGAATATGTGACTTGCAGTTTGAAAAAGTATTTCAGCAAGGAAAGAACTATTCATTAAAACATAACAGACCTTCATTTTCTCTTCCTTTTCTCTGAGTAGTGTTTCTCTATCAACGAGTTTAATAACTGGAGGTTGACCTTCTTTGTCCTCCAATCTCACACCAAGGTTTGGCAATACTTCATCACGTAGATTGTCACACACTTTCAATACTGATGTCACTGTTGTATATAAATGTATTTCTTTAATTAAACACTCATTCTGAGACTCAAGCAATGCTTCAAATTAGCCCTTATTCTGATGAGCAAATTAAACATTATGCTTAGAAGCTTAGTGAAAAGTTCTTTTATCTTAAATAATGGTGCTAAATTCAACATGAGAAACTTCATTTAATCTCTGCAAGAGCAGGAATTACGACACTGCAGACAGGTTTTGCCTTAATTTTACAGCATCATATATATCACCTTTATTGTCAATGCATTATAAATAATACCTTGAAAAACTTTCAGTCAAATCATTAAGGAATATGTTTTTGATTTTTGAACTAGAAAGACACTCTTTCGTTTATTCTAACCTGAACAAAATCTGTAAAATATGGGAAAATTTTACTGAATTTACTCATAAATCATTCGACCTCCACTATGATTATTTCATTTTATAGACAGAAAAAAATCTATATAATTGCAGTAAAATATATCATTTTTTTTTTATAAATTTGTACCTTTTTCCTCTCTTGCAACTTTTCTTATGTCCTCCCTGAAGTTGGCAAATACAGTCAAATATGGCATCACAGTTTCTTCTACCTAAAAATTAATGAATTACAACAGTACATTCTAGTTCAAGAGCTTATTTCAACCAAAACAGTATAACATCATTTAAAACATAAACAGACTGAAATTTGTTATCTGCAGCTTTTGGAGGAAAAACTAACTTTTTTAAAATTAATTTTGTTTTATTGTCAAAATTTAGAAATTGTGAAGTGATGAATGCGTCTGTGTATTTTGTTTAGAATGGCTACTTAAGGGGAACTATTACAAATTCACATTCAAAGTGTTTATTAGTTTGTATAATAGTATTATAGTATTATATAGCATTCAATCTTATCTCTCTACAAGTGCAATTAGCCATTTTAAACAGTTGAAAGCAGAAGTATATATTTACAATGAAATTTGTTTCAAAAGAAATTCAGTTTATAAAATGGCAATTTTTGTCCACTTTATTCAGAAATAGAAATCTTTGTGCAAAAACTATTGAACTGAATGTAAATAAAGATCACCCCATTCTGAACATTATCTCAATGCCCATTAACTTACTGATAGGACTTAAAAATCTTGAACATATGACAGTTATATTGATAAATTTGTACCAATACTGGCTTTTGATAATAAACAAAGGTTTGATAAATAATGAGTTATTTTTGTTTCAACTTACATCAACCGTTCCTGTAGCTGCTCCACCAGAAACTGTTAACCAGTCTTCATCAGCTTGTACTGCTCCAAATATCTAGAAAATAGAACAACACGTACAATAATTTGGAGGTTAACTTACTACTAGGTACCAATATGGAAAAGCATAAAGAGTAGGATGTCTTATTTAAGCTTTAACCTAAAATGCTTTCGTGAAGGACATTGAATGACCTGATTTACAGAGGGCAGTATCCTTGCAAAGGTATATGTTAACTTACAGACTACCTTTTAATCTTCATCCGCTAATGACTTCAAATGGACTCATCAATCTATGATTTCAGGGGAAATTTCAAAATATGTATCGACTGAAAAACAAACAGTGCAGCCTCAGATCAGATGGCATATATGTGCCGGATGATCTTAGCACCAGTAAAAATCAGGCTTAGAATTAATAACCATTCCACAGGGAAATAGTTATGGTTTGGGTAACCATTTAGGATTGTTTAAACTATGTAATATCATTTTACAAAGAAAAATTGCTGAAGAACAGTATTCCTCAGTTATTAAGGGGGTATTATTCAGTAAAACTGTATCCTAGAGTTATGGATCTTAGTTAGTGATCTACAATAATAATACATGCTTTAATATCATGACATTTTTTCAGGGCAAACATATATTGAAACGTAACCAGATATTTTAAAAGTAAAGGGTATAATGCAATCCACTGATGAATTGTTACTGTGTAACACCTATCAATGATGAATTGTTACTGTGTAACACATATCAATGATGAATTGTAACACTTCTTTTTGGAATGTCTATCAAAATGTTAAAACACAAAATACAACCAAGACTAGATAACACCATTTTCATCAAATGAAAACAAACAAATAGACAGTATTCTAACTGAACATATCACTTTCGTCAGCAAAAGAAGAAATATAACATTCAAGGAAGACCTTAAAATACCCTGTCTTGTCAAAAATTGTTAACTTAAAAGTTATAATCTTTATTTCATTCTTTGTGGTTTAGAAGACATACAGAAAATTCCAATGTTGCATGATAGATGCGGGCTTTAACACATAGGGCATCTCAATTCCATTATGTATGATTATTCTAAAGGTTTTAGACAGTTTCTGTCTGTTGATTTGCAATTGTCTGTTACTTTATAAGTTTAAAGCATATCTTTTTCTAATTTGACAGGCTTTTGTGGAAATATCCCCTAGTTACCTACTATATGATTTACAACTTCTCAGACAAAAACCATTTTTGGTTCAACCTTTAATCAAATCATTTCCATCACAGGAAGCTTCTATCAAAAGGACTTCCTTTAAGCCTGTATCTTGTTTAAAATATTTACATATTCTGACAGATGGCCTCTCTAGCCTCCAATTTTTCTTTAATTTTCTCTGCGGAAAAGTAGACAGGTATGACAAATAACCAAATAATTAATTTAATAAAAAATATGGCACATGACATTAATGGAAAAAGAAATCATCATATAGTTCTTTCTGTTACAGCATTTAGAGTAAATATTAAAGTGCTATAGATTTTATTTTCTGAAGTTTCTGTGAACTAAACACTCAATATAGCAATTAAGAACATTAATGCAACACTGTTACAAAAAAGCTTGTCATGGTTAAAGAGAGATAACCATGTCCTTCGTGATCACTCTTAAAACTAAATAATGCATCAGATAAGTTACGCCTTTTGTTAAATACTATATAGTTTACCTTGAAAATTTTTAGGATGAATGCTCCAATATTTTCCAGTAGAATTCGATTTGGTCTCCTCTTATTTCGGATTTCAGGGACATATATATTGCAGGCTTTAATTAAATCTTTTATTGCATCACATGTTCTTTTAGTGTCTATAGAATCTGTAAAGAGAAACAGTGGGAGTGTCTTTATCATTTACAAAATGAAACTTGAAGAATGTATAACCATATTAGTATTTAAATTTGTAACTTTATTATCAATCTGTTTTTAAATATCAGGAAAGTTATTATAAAATCAAAATAGATGTGAACTAATAATTCAAAGAATACAACGGCATATTTAATTGTTGGCACCTGCATTCTTTGTAGTCTTTGCTAAGCATAAATGATATATTTTCATTGGTTAGCTTATATAATAAGGCCTTTGTAAGGTCAAGGTCAAAGGCCTAATATAACTACTAACCATTACTCTGATATAGTTACAAGATCTTTTTACATTTATTTTGCCGAGAAAAAACATTAGAGGAGAGAAAACCACAATTCATTTATATCTATTGCATTATACATGTCTAAAGATGCATTTTAACTGAAATATTCTGCATTATACATGTCTAAAGATGCATTTTGAAATATTCTGCATTATACATGTCGAAAGATGCGTTTTAACTGAAATAAACTATCTTTTGTTTAAGTGTTATCCCAAAACTTTTTTACCATATATGAGGAAAAATACATTGGCATACAGGGCCAAAAAACCCATCTTTATAGAGGCTGAATATAGGCTGCTTCCCCAACCAAACTAGCCTCTTTTTTCCCCCAGTTTGGTCCTCAAAATTCCCATGTCTTTTGAAATTTCCCATAGAAGTTAGAACAAAATTAAGTGATAGTGTTGAATTAAGGTATTTTACTGCCTTATTAGTATTTCCCAGTGGTTTTTGCTTTTCTTTTTTGAAGAACTTGTTTAAAGTTTGCCCCTTTTCCAAAAGTTTGCCAAAATCACGAACATTTTCCCCAAGAAAAAGGCTGAGGCCCCTTCCCTAAAAATGGTGTTTTGGCCCTGGCATATCAAAACATATTTGCCACAAGACTTTATTCATGAGCACTTAAGTACATTGTAGCGAGCACAAGTTTGAAATTACAGTTACAGGAGTCAATGAATTGGCATATTAAATCTAAATTGTTTTAATGAATAAGGAAAATCCAACTTTTAACATACCACATAGGGCTTCATGTACTTCCTCTCTGGTGTCACTGTACCTGTAAAATAACACTATCAATGTAAATAAATGTATATTACATGTTAAATTATGTTTAATGTGTACTACAGTAATAAATGTAATATAATTTATGTTATAACTAAGTTCCTGAGAGGGGACACATTTTCATATCAAAAATCAAAGCTCAAGGCCTTGTACTTTCAGACAAGAAGATTTTTTAGTTTGCATTTTTTATACTCATTTTCTAGCTCCGTGACTTACTTATGCAACAGACCGGAACCATTTGAACAACTTTGGCAGTCATTCCTGTAAAGTTTGGTTTCTTCGCAGTCATCGGTTTTTGGGGAGGTGTTGTTTAAAGAAATTGTTGACGACGCACAAAGACAGACAGTGGGGGATCACAATAGCTCACCATGAGCAAGTTGTGCTCATGTGAACAAACAAATTTTATGTTTAAGCTCTTTGGACCTCAGTGGATTTCCTTAAACAAGTCAGAGATGTTTTTTAAAGTAAACACCAAAGAAGTTTCTGATGAGATGAAAATGTAGAAAGTGTTGTTAATGCCCTCGTTATCAAAAGACAGCAGTCTTTCACTTTCAGAATAAATATGAATATCAAAATTTGGTAAATGTATACAGATAATATATTATACTCAGACCAATCTGTTATGACAAATGAAATGTTATGTTTTAACCTATATCAATCTATGCCAATATTTGAATGATAACTGGTAATATCAGCTCAACCAATTCATCATATAAATACAGTCAGATCAAATGCTAGAAGAAATAAGTTTAAAGAAAACAGCTCAGCACTCCACTTTTGCATAAATTTTCTGCAGCCGAAATTCTCTGCAATCTACTATTTATATTGTAAGGCTACAAATAAATGCTTCCCTTGCAATTTTAAACATCTTAGGTAACATTAATAAGATACCCCTTTTTTGTTTGTCGGATTTTTATGTCACACCAAAACAGTCTGGGCCATATTGCAACTTTACAGCTTTACATGTTGGTGGGGAAAGACTTCAGGTGCCCATCTGTGCACCATTTCAAGCACCTGAGTAGAACCACAAAAATTCTATATAGCTTGCTCACATAAAAGAATCCTAAGTTACTGATATTGAAATCCCTGATACCTTGAAGAACTGTACCAAATTCAAGGCGGCTCAAATCCATTTACAAATTCTACAGATCAGGCATCATTTTTTCTTAAACCTGTGTATGAGGACACAGAATCGGATAACTTGCTCCATTTTTTTGTCATTCTAGATCATTCTAAATTCTGCATAATACCAATAATTAGCTAGTACAAACAGATGTTGGTACATTTTATAAAAAAATCTGCAATATTCTCATAATTTTCATTGTTGTAATTGCTCTCAATGTACCTCTACTATATATAAACCAATAAATTTAAAATCACAGGTGTGTTATTGTGACAGCTGACTATAATAATCTCTCAGTTGTTTTTTTTTTTTTTTTTTATCTTACTGACAATATATCTGATCATTTTCAATTTTCTTAATTGCATTAATAATACCAAAGGGAAGTCATTTTTGCAAAAGATTCACAGCAATATAATTAATTGTCAAAGGGAAGTCACTTTTGCAAAAGACACAGCAATTTCATTGTCAAAGGGAAGTCACTTTTGCAAAATTCATTGCAATAATGGTACTTCTGTACACATGTAGAATTCATTGCAATATTGTTCTAAAGATCACTTTAACAGACATCATTTCAAAATTGTTGTCAATGGGAATCATTTTTTGAAGATTTCATTGCCATATTGCTACTGATGATTTTATCGCATCAATGATGACAAATTATGTCTTTTCTGGTGAATTTTTATCACAACATTGGTGTCAAATGAGTCATTTCTGGTGATTCTATGGCAACATTAGTGACAAAAGAAGGCATTTCTGGTGATTCTATAGCAACATTAGTGACAAAAGAAGTCATTTCTGGTGATTTTATCGCAACATTGGTGACAAAAGAAGTCATTTCTTGTGATTTTATTGCAACATTGGTGTTAAATGAAGTCATTTCTGTTGACTTTATCGCAACATTGGTGTTAAATGAAGGCATTTCTGGTGATTTTATGGCAACATTGGTGTCAAATGAAGTCATTTCTGGTGATTTTATGCAACATTGGTGACAAATGAAGCCATTTCTGGTGATTTTATCGCAACATTGGTGTCAAATGAAGTCATTTCTGGTGATTTTATTGCAACATTGGTGACAAATGAAGCCATTTCTGGTGGTTTTATTGCAACATTGGTGTTAAATGAAGTCATTTCTGCTGATTTTATCGCAACATTGGTGTCAAATGAAGTCATTTCTGAGGAGATTATTACATTCATGGTATCTATTCACAAGAAAACCATTTGATAACAAAACTTACTTTTGGTTCAGACTAAGTTCCTCAGGTCCCCACTTATCAAAAGCGTCTACTCCAACACCTGGTGTATTTCTTTTGATGTCTTTTAACATGTGAAAAAACTCCTGAACAAAAGAAAAAAAAAGAGAAAATTTCAAAACAGATCCTTAAAATAAAATAACAACATTTGTAAATGTTGAATATTAACAGATTCAAATACCACAGTAAAATCATCACCTCAGTGCAGTAAAGTCTTAACTCCCATTAAAATTTAATAGGAGTTAACCCATTGATGCACTATGGTAATGAAACACCCATATTCAAGTGTTTTAATGTTTTCATAAGAACAATATCAAATCATTATTCAAGGATCATTTATGTATGTAATAAATATATGCCTGCTAGTCATAATCAGAATTGATTGTTAAGCAGTTTGATGAAGATGTAAAGAAAAGACAGATAGATGTATCACTATGACAAATGATGATCTTTAAAATAACTTATTCTACTAACAAGAACAAGTAGCCATTTTAACTGTATTACTCAAGATAAACCACCAGGTTCATTTACATCTCAACAATAATATTGCATTACAAACTAAGAGGTCTGGTTTTAGTTAAATGTACTTTCTCACAAGCTTTGTTCTGTTTTCACAACACTAAAATCATATTGTTGAAATGCCATAGAACATTTCAGATGGCATTGTTCATTATAAAACCTGGTGATCATCAATGCATTATCTTAAGTATGAGTTGACTTGTACAAAAAATATAAAACAACAAATAATTTATCACAAGAAACTGTTCAAGACTGTATGATGCATAGAGGAAATGAGCAAAAGGTATGATTAAACATTTCACAACCTAAATAAGTATTCAAACCTGCTACCTACCGAGATCAACTTCTCATATCTAATTGTGCCAGTCATGGTGTCCTTGCCATAGTCCAATGTATCTTTCCAAGAATGAAGCAAGAATAACAATCTCAGCTGCCTGGCTGTGTGTGTCTCCAAAGCTGCTTTGATGGTAATAAAATTCTTCAGAGATTTGGACATTTTGCATCCGTCAATTGTCAGATGACCAGAGTGAATGAAGTATCGCACCCAATGGTCATTTTCAAAATATGCCTGAAGAAAACAAAAGTATTAATTGAATTCTGGATGTATCACATAATGATCTCCCACTGTGTATTGAATAACATGAAGAAGGTATGTAAATAATTTGATTTTTTTTTCAAAGATTATATCCTTTCAACAACAGCACATTTAAATTTCAGGATAACTTGCTGAGACATGCCTATGCACTTTTGTTGTTATTACACAGAATGATATCTACTTGGGTCTTACATTCATGATACATGTATAAGTAAGGTTTTATTTTCAATTTCAGAAAACAGAAAATTTAAGAAAGTTTAGCAAGTAGGGGTCATCCTATCTAAATGCATGTACATCCCTATGTACTTAAAACAGAGAGGGCAATGATAGCTCAAGATTGCTCACCTGAGATGCATTAATAGAAAATGTCATCATTTTTAAATGCAAAATTAGGTAATTAGGATGTTCCATTATTGACCAAAGAACAACATGATTTATTCAGTTCTTGAAGAGCTTTTGCCCTTGACATAGTAAAAGATTTTCAGTTTTCAACTTGTGCCACATGTAGCCCAAAAAAAATTTGAACTGACAAAACAGTGGAGTGTGGGAGCACCCTTTTCCTATGAACACATTTCTAGTTTAATTCTTATATAACATTCTGAAAAGGCAGTATTCACTGGTTAACAAAATAACTTTTGATGTCATCTGAAATTTAATTTCAGTTTTTCATATATATTCCACAAATTAAAGTTTAGTTGTACTTTAATGTAACCATGAAAGATGTTGGAAGACGTGATTGATGATAAAATGTTTCTAATTCTATTCTAAAGTACACATAGGAATAGAATTAATTGAAGTATGCTAAGAAGTAATCAGTAAGTAAAGTGCTTGACTTCATTTGGGTTATGAAGTATATCCTTTTCTCACATGTTTTTGGCTTTACTATTCATAGAATTGTGGGGTATTCAAAGAATCGTGGGGCAATCCCACTCAACTTGGCAATGGTGTGCACTTTGATTAAGTGTTACTTCTTGTACAAGGATTTATCTCAGCCACTAAAGGTTTTTGCTTTTATTTGCTTGTAAGTTCAAATACTAATTTTCACTATGCAGCCAGTATAAGTTTTGACATTTTCCCCTAAAAATTATCAAATGGTTAGGTCCAGTCTGAAAGATAGGCAAGTCCATTTCAAATATTTAGCAGGTTAAATGTAAGACACTTGGGGAATAAAATCAATAAAATTTCCTTTGACTCAAAACATGGTAAGATCACAAATCTATGTTCAACTGAAGATTGTGTAGTATAAGACAAGATGTAATAAGATCCATAATACAACTTGTAATGATGATTTAAACTGGACAATATCATGATATTCATATGTACCTCTGCCTGTGCCAATTCATTGTCATGATGAGGGAATTTGAGATCCACTCCTCCAGTGTGAATGTCTAGTGATTCTCCAAGTATACTGCTGGCCATTACAGAGCATTCTATATGCCAACCTGGTCGTCCCTGTAAATAAATATATTATATACCGTTTTTAATCTTCATTTGGTGATTCTTTTTGCCAAATATGTAAGCTTTGAGTATAATAGTTTCTTAAAAGTTTTTTTTTTATTCATTTCTAAAGTCTTGTTTAGGCTCTTGTGACCTTCCTATGCATCAGATTGGAACCAAATGTATATAACTTTTGTAGAAGTTCACCTAAGAATCATTCCTGTGAAGTATGCTCAAAATCCATCATGTGGTTTAGGAGGTGATATCATTTTAAAAAATTGTGGATAATGATAACCAGCAAACGACAGACAGATTTTCACCACAAAAGCTCATCTTAGCTTATGGGTAGCTAAAAATATTCACAGAATCTGATGAATCAGGAAATACATGTACTTCACATATACATGTATTACCATACAAAATAGATTTACAACAAGCTAAATCACTTAAATCAATGACAATATTCTTGTATATAAAATCATATATTCACCTTTCCCCATGGAGAGTCCCAGGTTGGTTCCCCAGGTTTGCTAGCTTTCCAGAGAGCAAAATCATTGTTACTCCTTTTCTCACTCATCCTATCCTCTGATATACTCAACTCACCTGATAATACAATAACACGCGTGTTAATATATATTGTTTTAATTTTCATTTTGTAAGCCTTACTCTAAGGATTTTAGTCACACTGATATTAAGGCTGTATAGCATTTACAACTCTTCTGGTGGAGAAAGACCTCAGGTGCACTTCTTAGCATTTTTTCAGGCACCAGTTTGCATCTGATTTAAAAAAACAGAAGAATGGACATCCTTCATTTTAAAGTGGGGATATAAGATATATCCATAAATTTTATAGTGTCAGAAATGTTAAGGAAGCATAATGTGGAAATAAATTTTAGCCGCGTCATGACAAAGCCAACATAGTGCGTTTGCGACCAGCATGGATCCAGACCAGCCTGCGCATCCGCGTAGTCTGATCAGGATCCATGCTGTTCGCTATCAGTTTCTCTACTTGTAATAAAGTTGGTAAGCGAACAGTATGGATCCTGATCAGACTGCGTGGCAGCGCAGGCTAGTCTCGATCCATGCTGGTCGCAAACCCATTATGTTGGTTTTGTTGTGACCCGGCTCATATATAAAACACACCTTCTCCCTCTTTCAAAGCCTTCATATCACCATATGCCTCGGGTACCAGCTTTGCGTAGTAATGACTGGGTGCATTGCTAAAAGCAGTTGTGTCAAAATATATAGAACCATTGGACTCATACCTAGGAAAAGGTAATAAAAGACATTAGCACAAAATATAAAGAACTTTTGACTGGTTACAAGGAAATAATATTCGACATAATAAACAAAGAAAGGTATAAAATTAAATTTAATGTTTCTAAGGGTATACATCGTAACAATTTCTTTATTTTTTTTTTTGCACTAGAAAAATTCTAGCCACTTCACATGCCTGCATTTTTTTTTTACTATTTCATAACTAAATTGAAAATAAAAACAGTTATTATTTATTATTATTCAAATAATATTTTTCAATTTCTAAATTCAAAGTCTAAAAGTTGAATATCTTGGTTAAAAATATTTGATTTTTTTTGTTCTGACCTTGCAATCAATTTTACAAAAGCTTACCTTGGCAATAAAGAACATTGAAAGGTGATTGTCATATTCAAATTATCTAAAATGCAAGTTATGTAGACAATCTATCCATAAATAATTAAGTTATAGCCAGAAATAGGAAATATCAAGCACAATTCAATTGAAGGTCAAGGTCATTTAAGATTCAATCTCAAGTTAAGGTCTTGTCCTAAGAATGTTGTAAGCAAGATTGAAGATAATCTTTTCATAAATAACAAAGTTATAGCCCTTGGAGCAAATTGTCAGAAAATTTTTTAACCTTGACCTTCAGGTCAAATTCAGTCTGGCCCACTTAAAAGGTTTTGTCCAGAGGGTTGTTGTGTCAAAGTGTGAAGGCAATCCAAAAACATAACTAAAATCAACTTAAAAGTTTTCAGAAGGCAAGTCAGCAAAGGCAACATTACCATGACTTGAATTTTTTCTCCGAAAAACAGACAGGAAATATATTTGTACTTGTATTTTTATTTTACCACTTACATGAAAAGACAATCATTGTAAGAAGAACACTTATAAGAATGCAAATTACACTTTCCAAAATAAAAACTATCGGTAGGAAATTAAATGAGAAATATGTCTAACCCGTAGCCATTGTCGATGACTTTCTGCACAAAGTCAACCACTTCTGGCACGTAATCACTCACTCGAGTCAATACATCGGCACCTAGCACCTGAAAGAAACATATTGCTTAAGTTAGAAAATAAGTGCTTTAAAATGATTGCTTATCACATTACATTTTAAAGGCTTTTCGTTCTTCAAGTCTAACTGATTGAGTAAGGTTTCTCACATGCCAAGGCTTTTGGAACAAGAACATGGAAACTCATCAATAAAATTAAATTTCCTTGCTTTTCTGCAAGTTTCAACAAAGAAAAATTTCAAGTAATAAGAATTTCTGTCAATTTTAATTGAATTTTTAAATGGTATTAGATTTGGAGTAACATATCTTTCCATCTTGTGCAGCAGCAATTTGTAAACTATATTCTATTTTTTTTTTTATTTATTTTTTTTTTTTTTTTTGGTGGGGGGGGGGGGCATTTATGCATAATATGATTCTTATGGAAAATTTATATTTGAGAAATAAATCTTGAACTTACAATCTTGAATGTTTGTGGTACAAACGGTGATCAATATTAAATCAGACTATATAGATGATTCATTACCTATTTAATGCATTACATAAACAAATAGAAAAATGTATCATATACATGTCCTCTTAATCTTGAAATAGACAACTAAGAAATCACATTCACTCTGTACTTTTAATAAAATATATGAAATGATTACCATCAAAACTTGATTAAAACTGCAATTTCCCAGAACTGACAAATATTAAAATATTCTAATTACAAAATAACTCGGGTGTGCATAAGTGTGATTAAAACACAGTAGGAATTTAACTCCAAACTCTTGTAAGGCAAACATTAGCTCAGGGTCCCGTTACATGCATGGTGTAGATTTACATCAGGTAAAATGATCTCATCACAAATATAGAAATTCCATCACCAAATTGAAAAAAGCTCTAACACACATTTTATATAATTATTGCTCAGGTCATAAATTCTTCCTAAATAAACAAATCTGGTAGAAATCAAGAAATACATGCATTTCATTTACACAAATTTCAAAAGTATTTATTCATCCCCGTAATACGAGTTTTTCCGTTACATTCTATTATTCCGCACTCTTTACGCACAAAAAATTAAATCCTTTCAAGAAATAACATATGTGGATGTAAATTTTATCAATTATCAAAATACAAACAGATTGTGCTTGGGACATAAAGCAGCAAGTAACAGCAGTAGCCTCATGATGAGCACGCAAATTTTCATAACATCAAATATATATAATTATAGTAAACTCTACTTATAATGATATCGCTTCTTATGATTTACTGCTTTTTACAATATACCACTTATTAGGATATACCGCTTTAAAAAATGCTGTTGCAGGGGTCCTAACTCTTGTTTTCAAATTGGTTACCTCTTGAATATAGAGAATACATGGTTGATGTCGGAATGGGAAATGTTTATCTGGTAAGCGAGTTAGTGTATCTTGGTGAGCTTCAGCCAGCCTAGATTCACTTTCACATTGAACTGGACAAAACTTCTCCATTCCTACAATAACCATGCATTTGATTTATCCTGTTTTTGTCTAGTTTAATCATGGCTTTAGATTTTTAACATTTATTCTTACTTTTCCCTGTTAAAACAGTGCCTATATGTGATTTTGTTTTGCTGCTAACCATGTGACATAAACATGTCACCATAGGTTAATCATGTGACATAATGACTGGAGATTGATAAGTTTAACTCTTGTCTGCTAAAATTTTTAAGTTAAAAGGGACATAACTCAAAATAATTGCTTTGAAAATTGTGCTCATTGTATTTCAACTACACCTTGTCAAAATAAGCAAGCATTCCAAGTTTCATGTTGATACTTTTTGAAATGTGTGAATAATGGGCGACATTAAAGTTTTTGCAGGACAAAACCAACAACAATGATGCTGCTACAGCGATCATAATCGCTTTTTTTTTTTTCATAGAATGGTGTAAGATGTAAACAAAGTCACTAATAACTCCAAATCATGTTCAATATTTACAAAATACATGTATAATGTACCAACAATTTAAAATCATTGCAATATAAAAATGGCAAAATTTTAATAAGCAGGTATTTCTAGGAGCAAAACATTTTTTTATCATCTTGTTTCAGGTACACATAATTATGATCCTGTGGTTTAAATTTATCTTTCAATGACATTTTATTTCAGAAATATATTAAAACTGTTATGTGTGGGTGAGAAGCTTTATTAAGACCATGTTTTTCTCATTAAACTCTACAAGTAAAGACGTAGGTTTCCATAATTTACATCATTCACATCAGTTATAGTTAGTCCAGATATAAAACATTTAAAAAACTGGAAAAAAAACCCAACTTATTCATGTATAAGGTTAGAGTTTGTGACTCAGGATAATGAAATTAAAATTGTCTGTCCTGTCACAGGTTGGGCAACAAATTTAATGAAATAAAAGCTGACACTAACGTACTTATTGGTTTAAATTAGGTTTCTCAATCTTTACATAGAACTATTATGATACGCTATTTTAAAGGGAGAGCACTCACTGACAAGTTGTTGCCTGTGAAATCTATTAGATCTACCAAAGGATTTGAAAACAAGAGCCACCGCCGGGCGGGGGCAACGCTCGACTTTTTACTTTTTCTAAACGCAAACATAGAAAGGTTTGAACATATATTGACGTTTCCTTTTTATAAATTTAGTTGGTCTGTCTTGACACATTAGTTTTGTTTATATATTTTGTATATATATATGAATATAAACATTAATAGCAACAGTACGCAATTTCTTAAAATAGCAACATGACGCAATTTCTAAAAATAGAAAAAAATGACGCAATTTCTTAAAATAGCAACAATGACGCAATTTCTAAAAATAGAAAAAAATGACACAATTTCTAATAATAGAAAAAATGACGCAATTTCTAAAAATAGAAAAAAAAATGACACAATTTCTAAAAAATAGAAAAAATGACGCAATTTCTAAAAATAGAAAAGAAATGACGCAATTTCTAAAAATAGAAAAAAATGATGCAATTTCTAAAAATAGCAACAATGACGCAATTTCTAAAAATAGAAAAAAAATGACGCAATTTCTAAAAATAGAAAAAAATGACGCAATTTCTAAGAACAGAAAAAATGACGCAATTTCTAAAAATAGAAAAAAATGACGCAATTTCTAAAAATAGAGAAAAAAATGACGCAATTTCTAAAAATAGCAACAATGACGCAATTTCTAAAAATAGAAAAAAATGACGCAATTTCTAAAAATAGAAAAAATGACGCAATTTATATATATATATATATATATATATATATATATATATATATATATATCTATATATATGCATATATATATTCAAAAAAAAAAAAATATATATATATATATACATGTATATATATATGTATATATATATATATATTTGATATATATATATATATGTATATATATATATATATATATATCTTTGATATATATATACACATGTATATATATATACATGCATATATATATATATATATATATATATATATACAAACACATTCCTCCATTTACGGGGCATCGGTCTATTTGAGACCATACTTGTGGGGTGTATATTTAATGTGGGGCATACATAAGGCCTCGCAACTCTGGCATGTTTAAAACGATGTATGGGGGCGTAGGCTACCCTTCTTACATAGTGCCCGTAGGCCGGTTTTAGTAGTAAATGATATATGTCCCACAAATGTATATATTTAATATGGGGTTTTATGTTATTAGTCAATATGTTTTCACCTATGGTAAAATCAAATATATAGTTTTATATATATAAATTAGTACCCCTTAGTTCTGTTGTATGGAAATGTTCATTATAGGCCTATATAGTGGCGTATATAAAAACTGACTGCATGAAATAATGCCACTCAACTCGGTCTTATATATGGGCCCCGTAAGTGAAGATATGTGTGAATATATATATATATATATATATATATATATATATATATATATATGCATATATATATTCAAAAAAAAAAAAATATATATATATATATATACATGTGTATATATATGTATATATATATATATATTTGATATATATATATATATGTATATATATATATATATATCTTTGATATATATATACACATGTATATATATATATTTGATATATATATATATGTGTATATATATATATATATATATATATATATATATATATATATATATATATCTATATATATATATATATATATATTGCATATATATATTCAAAAAAAAAAAAATTATATATATATATACATGCATATATATATATATATATATATATATATATATATATATATATATATATATATATATATATATATATATATATATATATACACACACATGTATATATATATTTGATATATATTTATATATATATATATATATATATATATATATATATATATATATATATATATATATATATACACACATTTATATAAATAGCAAAGTTACAGTCAGTTACTGCCAAAACAATGAAAATTTCAATAATTTGACCTTCAAAGACAATGTCATTAATGAGTGAAGGTCAAGGTCTTTCGGTATATTTTTAACAGTTATCTTTGAAGATTATTATGTTCAAGTTTGAAAACAATCCATTTAAAAATAACAAAGTTACAGCCAATTATAGCCAAAAAAATGAAAATTTCAATAATCTGACCTTCAAAGTCAAGGTCATTGATGAGTGAAGGTCAAGGTCTGACTGGTTATTTTTAAGGGATATCCTTGAAGATTATTATGTTCAAGTTTGAAGACAATCCATTCAAAAATAACAAAGTAACAGCCAATAACAGCATGAACAAGCAAAAATTGGACTTTTAACCTTGAAGGTCAAGGTCATTTATGGATGAAGGTCAAGGTTAGTGTGGTCTACTGAAAGGTCTTGTCCCAAGGGTTGTTGTGGCCAAGTATGAAGACAATACACCAAGAAATAAAAAAGTTATGATCCAGGTACAAGTTTTCGGACGGCAACGGCAACGGCAACGCCGACCTGACTATAACAATGCCTCTACTTTTTTTTTCAAAAAAAAAAAAGTCGAGCTAAAAAATGGAACCATTTCATTGCATGAAATATAATAAACAACCACTTAATTATTATTGATTAGTCATTTAACTTATTCTCGATAAAAATTTCCAACGCAGTGTATTATTCCTTATATATAAATAGATTTTAATTAATTTTCATATCGGTGAAATTCATTAAAGTACATCTGTTCTTAGAATTCATAACAATTAAATACAATAAATTTTACACTTTGCATTATTGAATGCCCTTTTAAAAGTACTTTAAACGATATATAAATTAGGAGAACCAATATACTTCTAATGTACTGACATTTTTTATGTTTATATTTCTAAAACTTTGATTAAATTAGTTAACAGTGCGACTAATTAGAGAGTTTTAATGCATTGTCCTATACGATCTAAATGTCAAATAAGAAAGGTCGGTGAATAAAAATACTATAGCCAGACATAATTTCCGGGCTTAATGACAAATAGAATAAATTGATGTCTGCGGTAGATAAAAAACCATAAAGGACAAAGGGAAAGCATTAGGCAAATAATGATGAAATGGATGTAATTTAAGCATGAATTCATCGAACAGAAAGTTTAGTTTTAACTTTGCTGTAAATTGCCAGGAAAAACTGTAGTTCTTGAAATTCACAAAATGTCATAAAATTCTAAAAAAACCATTGGTTAATTCCAATTTTGTGCCATAAGTCAACCAATTAGAGGCCTAAATTTTCACCGAATAAAAGAATAAATAAGAAAACAGTCTGAATTCTCAGTTGTTTAGTTGTTTTCATTTTCTTTTTCTGTTGTGTGTGTGTGTGTGGGGGGGGGGGGGGGGTTGGGGGGGAAGGAGGAAGGGGTGCTTTAAAAAACCTTTTATACATACATTAAGACTGTTCATGTCTTCATGATATTCCTGTTCAAAATGCTGGTACAGTTTAGAGAAGATAGATTTATCCGTGACCTCTGACCCATGCTGATTGTCCAACCAATCAGAGAGCACATCCTTTGAGGCAAGTAACAGTTCCTAAAGATAAAGATAAATGATAATACTTTGATGGAATGAAATATAGTGTTATCTATTACTGTCAATAGTGAATGTCAAATTCATATTCATATCTAGTAATTATCCTAAAATATTCTCTCAGAATATGAATATCAATAGAAGCAAAATCCTTATGATACCATTGATGCAAAACATCCAGTTTTATATCACTGCTCCTTTCAAATTTTGCTGATGAATATGTTTCATATTAAAAGAAATGTCATTAAGTCATTTATTCAACTGCTACCCATTAATAAACTTAAGTCAGTTTTGTTTTCAGAAAACTAACATTTAATCAGATCAATATCTGGATCTGAACAGATTTTTCTTGACAATTTTTTTAAAATGGCTATTTGTAAATCATAAAAGGCCATAATTCAACAGCAATGCCCTTGTCACAAATAATGCCTGTCAAGAATGCTCAGTGACAAGTGTATGTGACCTTGACCTTGGCTACAGGGACCTGAATATTGTGCACATCACTCTAACTAACAATGCTGAACATTTGTGCCAATTATAGAACAATCCCTTAATGCATACAGAAGTTTCACTAATCTTGGGTTAGTAAATGTGACCTTGACAAAGAAACCTGGTTGTTCATATGTGCAGCGCTTCATCTTATGATGGTGAAAAAGTAATACTTTCATGCATACAACATTGCTTCTGACAAAATCTTTAAATTTATTCATTTCTGGTGACCTTGACCTTGTATAATTATATTGACCTGAATTATGCCTGCGATACTCGATCTCACGATTTTGAACAGCTCAAATCAAGACTACAAATTTGTCCATATACACATTTTCATATACTTTATCTGATTTTTGACCTCAGTGTGTAACCTTGACCTTGGCCTCAGGGTCCTGAATAATGTGCATCATGCCCACAGCATCATAATGATGAATGTAACAATTACATGTATATTAAAATCCCTCAATGCATATAGACGCTTTGCAACAGACAAGTATTGCATGTATGTAACTTAAACCATTATATATTAACCATTTTTGCCAACATTGTTTGATTTCTTTGCCAAATTTTGCTGTTTTTAACACAACCTAGTTTTACCTTGGTCTTTTGATTTCTTTAGTCACAAAATATATATCATTCTCCCGACTAATCATACCTGTTTTGCTTCAGCAACACGAGATTCCTCACTCTTGTTATTGACTAAGGCCTCCATGTTAGTGATGGCTGCTTCTATGTTAACTTTCATTCTCTGGTACATTGCAAGTTTGTCATTATCTTCTTCCTTCTCCATTTTTGTTTTGAATGGCTGATTAAATAGATAAATATTTATATCAACCCCATCATTCACCAAACAAGTAATATTATACTTGTCGCCAACAAAACCTTAACTTTTCTGAAGATTTCAACCCTTTAACAGTGCTTAAAAAGCACTCCCAATACTTATGTATTATACTAGTAATCTAAGGATTGCTGGCCGTCTAGGTTCAAACCCTGTCAAAGGCATGCCGTTTTTTACGTGAGCAAGAAACTTTACATATATTGTTTAGTACTGGTTGGTTCCAGGAACAGATTTGAGAGTGTTTCAATAAGCTTATAGCTTCCGACACAATCAAACTAAAATAAATTCATATAAACTAAACTAACCAGCATGATTCAAAAGTGCTTTTTCATAGGACCAAATACAAATGTAAATAGGTTAATTCTCAATGTCTTTCTATAATATATATTATCACTCAGACTGCCTCAGAATTGATGGCTTACAACAAATAAATATAAATAACCCTTCATTGTTTATACCTCCATTGCCTTCACATTATCTGCTATAATTGTATTCCAAGGTCGGTTTTCTGCGATATAATTGTCCCATAAATGGTTCTGTCTCGCACGCTTGATAATCTGGTGATAGGAAAAAATAAATATATATATATTTTCCTAAACAAACATTTACATAAAATCATGCATTTATTGGTGCCACTATAAACCTAATATTATGTTCATATAGAGGATATTTTTTCTATAAATACATAATTTATTTGCATCGAGTGGTATGAAAATAAATATTTCATGAGTGGGGGTAGCCACAAGTGAAATATGATAATTTTCATGCCACAAGATGAAAATTAATCATGTATTTATAGAAAAAACTTGAATTTTCTGTTTATTTTATACATATTTCTCTTTTTTGACATTGCAATTTGATAAATTATGTGTACTGGCAGAATTTAAGAGAAAGTAGTCCGGCAAGAAACCAGTGAAAATATGGAAAATATGTTTCACTGCAGTGAAAAATAAATTTTTACAGTGAAAATACGAAAAATGAAAACATGCATTTTATTTCATCAATATTTCTCAATATTAAATTTATAAGTATATAATAACAATATATCTTTGGAGAGAAGTAAAATATCTATTCCTGAGGTAACCACAGGAACCATGCCATATGCATGCTGGATGGTGTTAATTTTTTTATTTATTCTTTTTTTGGTTGAGTTTAACACTTAAACAGCTTTACTGGTGGAAGAAGACCTCAGGTACCCTTCCAAACATCATTTCAAGCACCATAAGCTGGCTGGTTAGCTTCCTTGCATAAAGGATCCAAAGTCCCTGGCGGGATTCAAACTAGGCAAATGATTTAAATTCAACAACCTGAACCACTCCTCCATGGATGCCCCACATATTAATTTAATAGATTGAAACAAATGCTATATTTAAGTAGCAACCAGTTGACTTTGGTCAGTCTATATACCAATTTACTTACTGGCCAGGCTATACCATCATACTGACAGTTTGCCTCTCATATAATTTTGTCATAACAAAATCCTTTAGGTCACTATAGAAGAGCCAACTTATTTCCAACAAAATATTCTTACTACATTTTTAGGTAGCTTACAAATTAGACCTAGTATAAAATCAAATTTTGCCTGTTTATTCTCAATAAAGATTTCAGAGGGGAAAGTTGGCACTGAAGATGGCCCAATGGTTAAGGCATTTGCCACTCAACCCAAAGATTTTTGGTATTTCCAACTTCTAGGTTCAGTACCATGTTTCCTCAGCACAAAGGAAGTATAGACTTGAGATTAGTTCAAATATGTTTAGTCTATAAAGCTTTCACTCCAGCTGAAGCAAATGTTCAAACTAACCAAATAGACTTCCTTTAAATATCTGTTATCATTTTCTGCCTATTATTTTCTCAATTTTCTCTCTTTTATTTTCTCAATTTTCTGTTCTTCATTTTCTCAATTTTCAAAAAATCCAACAACAGACAAACCTTGTCATCAATATCTGTAATATTCATACAGTATGTTATGTTAAAGTTGAAGTAATCCGTCATCACCCGTCGTAAAATATCAAACGAAATATAAGACCGAGCATGCCCCATATGTGACGAATCGTACACAGTTGGTCCGCAGCTGTACCACAGCACCTGGTTCCCATTCTGAGGCACAAATTCTTCCTGAAAAATAAGGGTACCAGTATTAAGAATAAGATCGCTGGTTATAGAATTTGTCTAAAATTATCTACATGCAACTTTTTCAAAACAAATTTTAGTTCAATCACAAGAACATAAAACAATTTTAATTACTTAATATATCTGGAGATCATATTTTTTATAATTTTACAAGCAAATAAAACATTCTTTTTATCCACTTTCATATCAGAAAATGGACAAAGGCAGACAACCTTTGTAGAATTATTCCCTAAATATCTCAGCATCCAGATTAACTCCCTTGACATGAAGAGTACAAACAATTTGATTGGTTCTCCAATGTTGATTGTCAATACACTGTGCTATAATTAACCCAAGCACATGGCTATCTGTCAGTGTATATTGTAGTTGTTGTCTGTGCTTCATTTGACTGGATTTACTGGTTAAATCATTTAAAACATACACTTTATCTCAAAACTTTGTGGACTTATGATAATTTTTTAAGAAAAAATAAATTTCATTGTTACTTTTTACAAGGAAATTTCTCTAAGACAAGAATCTGTGTTTATATATCCCTGAGGTCAAGGGTTATTGCTCATGCATAATCATAGAGGTTAAACTTTTGTTTTAAAATAATATTTACATATTTATACAAATATGTAACAGTTTTGCAATTTTGTTATAGTGTTAATAAACCATTGTGGAAACATGGGAGTAAGCTGGAATAGCATATTTGTGGATTTACCAATTATCTTCATTCTTTTATTTTTAAATTTTGTGGACAGAAGTTCCCAAAGTCGTGACCAGGACAAATGGGAACATATCTCGAGTAAGTATAATGAATTAATGAATTAGATGATTACTAAATATGGATGCAAATATATAATACATTATTGTACTTTAGTGGAATTTATCACTTCCGTAACCAAGAAATCTCATTAGAAATTGTATCTTTCACAAAGAAATGATTAAAGGAGAAGACAAACAAAGTTCCTATGAAAAATAATACAATTATACAAATTTTTCTCTCTCAAGAATTCAATATTTCAGGTTTTGCAATTTTTACAAAACCAACCATTTCATTATATAGAAGGGAAAAAAGATTTGCTGTAGAATTTATCACAAAGTTAAAATCATAATATCTCACGAGGGTTATTGTCTTTTATACAAACATGTCATCAGAAAAGAGAAAAATTTAACTTGATTAACAAACAGAATGTTTGACAGTAAGATTTTTTTTTAAACTGAATATGTCTCGAGAGAATTCTTCTTTTTCATAATCACTCAATCACTCACACATCAATCAGGTTCAACCAACTCTTGACAAAGCTTTGTACAACACAATGGCATTTAACATTGGACAACTATAGACGGTGAACAACGGTGCAAAAAAAATTAAATTGTTTTATCGGAGGCTTTTTAACACCGTATAACACGCATAATGGCGAGTAAAAACTTTTATACAAAGTCATTAAAGTCAGGGGAAAATGTCCAAGTTGGAGAAGAGGAGTTGTAATTGTTTGGGATTGGATTTCCCGAATGAATAATCTACTTCAGTAGTTCCCATTGTGGGCATAGTATTGTTATTGATTCTGCCTGATCACCTGCCTTCGGTTTATGGCGATTATCTATATGACGGCAAAATAATTGTCATTTCTCCTACAGTCCCGTATTCAGCATTGCAGGATGCCGTTTCGGTATTAAATGACCAATTTGACGCATTGTTATTCAAGCTGAGCTTGATTTGAAATGTAATTTCAAGGAAAAGATCAATGTGTAAATGTCTCGTCATTATGGAAAAAAACGGCCTTCTGTAATTATTAAGTGACAGGTTTTTTAAAAAAAATGCAAATAAAAATCGCCATGTTTACACAGCCTTGATTTAACCATGCTGTTTGTTTACTTTAGTCAGAAGAGCTGCCATTGAATCAGCATGCTTCATATGACTTCTTTACAAATACTATTTGAATTAATTTAACCAAACAGTTAAATGTAAACACTAACAAAAATGGCATTTGTACATTTGTAAGCAAGAAATTAGATTTATTGAGCCAATATTAAGTGTACTAATATCTCTGTGAATGTGTACTGTGTAATTTGACAGAGAAAATACTTTATTTAAGTCAATGGTACCACTTACACAAATGTCAAAGTAAGTCAATATACTGTAATCTTTATTTATTAGTAAATATTGTTAAAGCCTTAGCCTTCTGACCGCTATAGATTCTACGCGGACCAAGATCAGTGGGCACATCAGTGCAGATCTGATCATGGTCTGCACTGTTCGCTTTTCAGTCAGTATACACTTAAAATGCAAATGGTCTTGTCCAGATGGAATGTAGTCTATTTCAGATATTTAGCAGGGTGAGTTATTTGTTCAAGTACATACATGTCATGCACTTTTGAAAATCTATTGACTATTTAGTGAAAGAAGATATTGTTATTGTCCATTAGAAATAATATTAGTCACATCTTAGAATACATCACCATACAACATTATTGGAATAATCTAATCTTGGCCAGATAGGATCCCAACCCCCTCACCCCAAACTAGTTGGACTAGTTGGACACCCTGGCTCCTTCCCACCAAGTTTTTCTTTCCTTTTTTTTTATGTTCAGCTTTCACAGCATAATCATCTCTTGCCCAATGTACTGTATTCAAATTTACAAAAGTTTCTTTAGTGATCTTAAATAATTCATTGCCTATTTTTTCAATCACAAAGAAATCTTATCTGTATGTAATTTACTTCTAAGAAACTTGGTTCATTCACTGCTTTATCTAGGTTAGTATTTACATAAAAATTTTGACAGGCAGTTGATTACCCTGACAACCTATTTCTCTGGATACTAGAGTCTTAGAAGAAAATAACATATCATTCTCGGCATACAACAAACAATCCCCCCTACCTAACAATGAGGACAAACAATGATATTGTCTTCAAGAAAACAGCACAAAACTTGATTTCGCGCCATCCCTCGCCCTTGCCGAGATCATGTCTTAGAATGATACTAGAGAAAATTTAATTGTGTGTTACTCGGAGAGCGGCCTTCTATTTGATTACAGATAAATAGCGGATAGATAGCTTTCCATTCTCTGAACAACAATTTCCTTTACGCAATCGATAAATTAAACTTGTATCATTTCTAACTATAGATGGATCCTGGCTTATCAAACTCTTGCATCCAAACACAAACTCCCTTTTAATGCCATTTGAATGGTTGGTAATACCTAATCAATATTATTTCTTTGACAAAAATACAAAGATTCTGAGATTCTGCTATAGTTACTTTGTCTGCAGAATAGCCTTAGATTTTTTTATTCTTTTCATTATTTCTTTCTTTTTTTTGTGTTGCTTTTTGCCAATAGTTTTTCTCTATAGACGATAATTATATTACTATAGACACACTTGCTTTTCTCAAATTGACACGTGGAAATAAAGTTAGAAAATCAGTTAAAATAGAAAATATCACTGTCACGTCTTATTTACGACAGCATTGCAAAAGTCAAACTATATTTTAAGACCATATCAATACATCTTCCTCGACAAGATTATTCGTCTCGAATTCGACTCAATTGAAATGTGCAGCTTATAAAGCACTGCCTGCGAATGATTTATTCTCAAATCGAAAGATGACAATTTCTTTAATGCAGTAACATACACTTTCCATGCTGCATTTCTAAAACTCGCTATTCAATCATTGGCGATAACCATTGATTGTGAACAGAAATAGTTTTTACACCAGCACCAGATTATATCTGGAACAATTTATGGCACGAATATTATCCGAATATTATCCGTCATGAATCTTGCAAATTATTAAGATCAGGTAAACAATTAATGGGAGTGCTTGAACTTTAAATGATGCATTCAAACTCTTTCAGTTCAAAGTCAGTCATGATCTTTTTTTATGAAGCTGTCCGACTCAATGATCAAAAGGAATTTAATAGTTTAGAGTAACAAAATGTCCGAAGATTTTTGTAATAAAATCTATACTTTTGACATGTTTTTATAAGTGTCTTGTAATACCTGATATTAACAATACACCTCATGAACCAGGGTCATTCAAGAACTGAGGAATTTTTTCTCCATTTTTCAATTAATTTCATTCAGAAAAGGTGTGGTAACCAGCATTTTTCAGTTTTAATTAGCAAGTGACTAAATTCATGAGTGGTTGATATCTTTTAACCATGACAACTTGCAATATACCACTCTTTAGACATCACTTTTATCTTGGTAACAAGATAATCACGTGGGTATGGCACTTTATATTAACCTTATATACAATACATGTTGCGCCAGCGTTTGCACCAGCGTTAAATTGAGATCTGCATTATAAATTCTAATTTCCAATGTAATTCTTGGATAAAACTTGTAATCACTCTGTGATGAACTTTGTCATAATCATTGGCCAAGTACGGCAACATTGATTTTCCTTTTGAAAATCGCTTTCTTTAATTGAGTATTCTGTCTACATTTCCTAAGATTGCTTGCCTCTATAAACCGTGGCAATACAGAATGTCACAAAGCAGAAACAGTGTGCCAAGTCAAGATTGCCCGCTAAATAACACCACAAATAATATGAGATTTATATCTGCGATGGTTTTTTTTTTCATTAATCCTAGAAAATATGTCATTATATTTTATCTCGCTATATTGCCTTTCTTTCATTAAATTTACATCAGATACTGTCAGGGATGTAAAATTATACATTTTCTCCGCAAGAATTAAACATAATGATTTACACAGACCCTTCCAAAAGCACTGACTTTTTCACATAAATTTCTGAGTATTCTTTTCTTGTATGTGTCCATATAAATCAAAGATCTCCAATTTTATGTTATTTCATTAAAATTTTGAGTCGTAAAAATTATCGTAAATTAATTACGATCATCACCCTTGTATTATAATAAGTACTCAATAACAATATATCAGATACAATAAATCTAATTTATTCTTATTTAATATCATAGCAATATGATGAAATGTTGAAATACTCTGATAATTAAAGTAATATATCTCCTATGATATCAATGATATCAAAAAATTGAAAAATCATGAATTAATAAATCTTAATGCGCGTTATAATATAATTTAGACTTAGATAAAAACATCTTCCTTCAAACTCAGAGAGTATGTACCTTTCAGGAGACCAATTTTCGGAAAAAAAATTAGAAAAAAAATCTTTCTTTTAGTTTTTCATTCAGCAATTTGTTTTTTCAATGAAATAGACGTATTTATTTGAAACAAAGAATTCTCATGGGAAGGATAGGAAATGATTGTTACAATATTTGAACATTTGATATTGAAGTGCAGTCTCAAATTGATATTCATTTCACATTGGTAAAGAAAGAGACATAAGAATACATTGCATGTGCTTGAAGATATGTCAGAGATGCATTTTATGGTCTTTTTATTTCTTGTTCTTTAAAGCAACTTGCCTGCAGATTCATGATTACATGTATATTATAGCTAAGCTTTAATGAAAATTTAAAAGTTTTATTAATATTGTTTAAGGCACTCAAAAATGAGAAAAAAGTTTTCTTCTATACAAATTGCAATATACATGTAGGGCGACTGTGGCTGAGTGGTAAAGGTCTTTCTTTTCAAACCACTTACCACTCTGGGTTCAAATCCTGCATGGGACTTTGTGGATTCTTTCATGTGAGGAAGTTTTCCAGAAACAACAGTGATACTACTCGTGTTTTTGGTGTCTGAAACAATGCATAAAGGGGCACCTGAGGTCTTCCTTCACCAGTTTAAAGCTGGAAAGTCACTATATGAACTGAACAGAGTTGTTGGTACGACATAAAACCCAACCCCAAATAAA